GAGAACAGCAATCCAATCACTCTTGATGGCGAAACTCTGGAAGATGTGGAATCCTTCACATACCTGGGAAGCATCGTCGATAAACATGGAGGTTCAGATGCAGACGTCAAGGCGAGGATTGGCAAAGCTAGAGCGGCATTCCTTCAACTGAAGAACATATGGAACTCAAAACAACTTTCAACCAATATCAAAGTCAGAATCTTCAATACGAACGTCAAGGCAGTTCTACTGTACGGAGCTGAAACTTGGAGAACTACAACAACCACCATCAAGAAGGTACAGGTATTTATTAATAGCTGTCTACGCATGATACTCAACATCCATTGGCCGGATACCATCAGCAACAGCCTTTTGTGGGAGATAACCAACCAGCTTCCAGCTGAAGAGGAAATTAGGAAAAGACGATGGAAATGGATAGGACATACATTGAGGAAATCATCAAACTGCATTACGAGACAAGCGCTAACTTGGAATCCTGAAGGGAAGCGGAAAAGAGGAAGGCCAAAGAACACATTACGTCGGGAAATAGAAGCAGATATGAAAAAGATGAATAAGAACTGGAAAGAGCTTGAAAGGATTGCCCAGGACAGGGTTGGATGGAGAATGCTGGTGAGCGGCCTATGCTCCTTCACGAGGAGTAACAGGCGTAAGTAAGTAACTATACTGATTTGGTATGGAAACTTAAAACGATGCAAATATGTGACAGGCTCCATGTTGTTTATGATCAATATTCAGTCATTATAAGTGGACATAATCGAACAAAGTTAAATACTTTAAGGCTAGTCAGGCATAAATTCCCAAGGTGCTTCCATCATCAACTTACAACAATTAACAAACTATTTAAAAACTAAATCTATATCTTTTAGCTTTCACGCAGAAAATGACACCAAAAATTGCCTTTCCTAGTGAAGATTAAATTACAGGTAACTTCTGGGAACTATTAATGGACTAACATATATATATCTTTTATTATAAGCTTTATTTTGACCTATGGACTACAATGATGATTCACTACTCTTAAATTACATTCAGTTTATTAATTACTGTCTCCCCCAATCACAGCCACTTTTCTACTTGATCTTATACAAATGTTATTTCCTTTTTTATGGTGTTTGGCTTGTATATAAACCAGACATATTTGAAACAAATGATTCATATAGTGAAAGCTGGTATTGGTGTTTTGGACTCAACTGGCGGGGCTAGAAGGACAAAAGACCAATAAGAACGCTAGGCTACTTATACCGGTCAATAAGCTTGGCACATTGCTAAGATTGTCGTATTCTGATTGGTGAATAAGTCACATGATAATTAGCACGACTAAAAGTCACAGCACTATACCAGAAGAAATTCGCGATCAAACTTTACGAAATGAAGTAATCTTTGCAGTTTTAGTAAAAGCCGTCTAATGTTAGGCAATTGTGAGTAGTCGACAAGAAACCCTGGTTATGTGACAACTGGCACTTATCAGCAAGATTCGAAAAGTGACCTGGATAACTCGTCAGTAGCACCTCAAAATTTGAAACTATTATGCCTGCCCATATTCCACAGGGAGCATCAGTTCCTTCAAAACTATAGGTGCACCGTACTAAAAAATGCTAAACAGCACGAAATCAAGGTCCAGGGTTTCCTGTCAACTACCTCCGACCACCACCTTACATCTCAGCACAGTGTACGCGAAATCGAGTCAATTGGACTAGTGGCCAAATTTCAACCTTATCGATAGAAATCGGCCATTACTGAAGAAGGACATGACATTGGTGACTACTCAATAATTAACCAATTGTTAAGACCTTCTCAACAAAGTACGGTAGAATTCTATTTGGGTTTCGCTGATTCCGAGTACTGCCAAGTTGCATCTCCTCATTTCCGTTGCTATTTGACTACACTTCTCAATCTCCTACAATGTCTGGACGCTCCATGTACCCATAAAAATTGTTGCTTTGGTTGTTAGAAAGAACATAGCCATCGTGACTTACGAAAAATCTCGGCTTTTATCATGAGGCGTCATAATCCTTCCTTCAATTCCCAGGGCAGAGTTCAAATAGTTTAGTTTAATTTGGTTGGCGATTTTTTTCTACAGGATGGGGTTGCTGACCCAATGCTCAACCATCCTACTTTACCACGATTCTGTCGTTCAAAATCGACACCAGACACATTATTTATCTCTTACCATGGATAAGAATCCTATCTATTAAATGTTCATAATTCTACTTAAACTCACCTCATTTCTACTTAATACTGGTTTAATTTATTTGTTTGACAACTGCTTGTTTTATAGCAACCGTACCCTTATACTGTAAGGAGGTACTGGATTTCTAGAATGTATAGGTTATGTGAAAGTTTGTTCATTAAGATTAAATATGAAACCAACATAGTAGATCGAAAACGTACGTGGGATTCCGTAATCGTATTAAAAACTAAAGTTTACGGTAACCCGTGAGACTTAATTAAAGACCTTCGCTTGGTTTAGCATCACTTTCAAATCAACATAGAGCCACATCTCATTCCTGATAGAACGAATGATGAGGCATTTTTGCTGCATAAAAAGGTATTTAATTTTTCAGTTACTAGTCTCTTGCCTATTTCAAATGAGTCTAGTGAACACTTGGTTTAAGCCGTATTGCAGACAATAAGTTAACAATTTTTCAAACGTGAGCTGTTTCGTTTGGGATAAAACGCTTAAAATCAAAGAGGGTTTCACATGTTAATTAGATTGATATAATACTTGGACAGATCATACTAAGCACTTCTACAACAATTCCTAAAGATTCTATGTATTCTGAGACTTGAGCATTAGCAGGAAAGTGAAGTACCCTGAAAATAAAATACTTAAGGAGTCCATCATAATAATCTCAATAAACTAGATACTGTTAATCTCGTGAGTATACCTACGGACTAGTAACTGGAACAAGCAACTAGACAAATGTGTATTACCAGCACAGCGTAAACTAATTGACCTTTGGGCAAGCGGAACTAGTATTTTTAAGAGAACTATATATCCTGACATCTAAGTAACTGATAATGAGTTGTATATCAAAGATAAAAACCATCGACGATTTCTAACTAATTTCACAAATCACTATATAGACAGAGAAACCTAGTCCAACACTGTCTCACAATAGACCCAGTATCAAAGCTTAGCATTCTTGTTAGTGAGCAGGGATTTCCCAATTGATAGTACAGCGAAATAAATAAGACTAATTTACGGCCCCTGTTTACCATACAGCCAACTCAAATTTACTTTATTCATCTCCATTACCCGAGAAAACAGTTCACTGGATTGCAACTGAAACTTGTAAATAGTTCATGTTTATCATGTAAAAGATCGGATCTACAACGCGTCGGTGAGAGCAGTTCTGCTCTATGCTTGTGAAACCTGGCCTCTCCGAGTTGAGGATGTTAGACGACTCTCTGTGTTTGATCATCGTTGTCTCCGAAGGATTGCTGACATTCAGTGACAACACCATGTTAGTAATGCAGAGGTTCGGCATCGTGTGTTCGGGCACAGGGACGATAATGAAATTGGTGTCACCATCTTGAAACACCGACTTCGGTGGCTTGGACATGTTCTACGAATGTCGTCCCAGAGAATTCCTCGTCGTGCATTATTTGCCGACTCTGGGACTGGTTGGAAAAAGCGGAGAGGTGGTCAGTATATGACGTGATGTTGTGGTATGAAAGAAAGCTGCAAAGGGCTAGCTTCTGTTGGTCCTTCACGACTCCCTGGCTGGGGTCCGAGAGACGGTGTAACACAGTGGCTAGAGACGTCATCAGATATGGCTCAGAATAGAAGCCAATGGCGATCCTGCTGTAACCTTTTACTTTCTTCATACAAAAGTGGTTGCCTCTTCCTTAACTGAAAGATTTCTTCTGATTGTACCCCATTATTGTTCTTTTTTTTCTCCTTTCTCTTGAAATTATCGTTGTTTTGTGTGGCGCATATATATTTGGTGCCTCTTGTACCAATATTTGTGTTCAAATAAAATAAACTGAAACTTAGAAATATTTGATAAGCGTTTTCTATGGCTAACTATGAAACAGCATCCGAAAGTAATCAGTGGTATGTACGTTAAATGTCAGACAAGGAAATTAGTGTCGTTTATTACCACACATATATTTGATTAAGATTTACCAACTATACACGGTGCGTCGATAAAGTTCATATGAAATGAAGCTTGATTATCTTGCAGTTGTTTAATGTCTTGATACGAAACAAAACCCGTAATTCTTGATGTCGAACAGAGAGTAGTGAGTGAATACTTGTATGTAACATCGTCAGTTTTCCGATAAAAGCTACCATTCTTACTTCGCATTATAATTCATTTTCAATAACATGGTTTTGTTGCATTAGTTAAAATTTCTACCTTCCCCAGCACCTTCAAAAACAATACTTTCCGGGGTATATACACGTATTTATATGGGATTAGATTTAACCAACATTTTTAGATAGCCCCAGACAACCTACACACAGCGAAGCAATTACGAATTTTGTAACGTCGGTGTCAGTTGCGTGGAACTTTGAAATAATTAAGTTACGTTTAGAAAAAAAACAAGGATGGATAAGTACCAAACCACTGAAGGTTGGACAAGCAAGAAAAGCTAAATACATAACTAGCCAAATGCAGGACTTTGTTAATTGTTAGAGAATCTTGTGACAATTTATGTCCGTGGCAACACAGGACTTTTATTATATCATAGTAACCAACTACAAGGAAACTTTGTGGTTAGTTATGAGTAAACACAGGTTTAACCTGATCTGGGATACTACATATATGACTAAATAGCAATAAGGGACTAAAAACACGAGCTTATGACCAAAGCAATATGAAGTGACAGTAGCAACACTTAATAAATTTACCACTTTTACGTTATAGTACGTGATGATATAGTTTTGCTCACAACATAGAAACAGTTAGCATGAAAACTTATTACGCACTGGTAAGATTCCTAATCTGCATTGATATAGTTTACCTTATGAGTCAAGAAAACCAGAAATTGTTGAATTATCCATCATGTATATTAAGATAATTAAAAACCAGCACTCTCCTTCATTAGTTGTTTCTTCATCTTTTTCTTAGATTCCTTCTTCTTTACTAACTGTGGTGCAGCTGCAGGGACCTTAGGGACAATATCATCTTTCGTAGCAAGTATGACTTCTACATGACATGGTGAACACATGTAAGGATTAATACGACCATGGGCACGATAAGTACGACGTCGCATTTTAGGTGCTTGGTTGACCTAGCCGAGTCATGAGAAAATAGTAGTGTTACCTGGATGTGTTTGATATACAAACGACTGGCTTCTCCTCCTTTTATATCTTTGTATACACCATTGCTGAATGCATTGTGCAGAAGCTGAAGAAGCATCTGAGCAGACTTCTTAGGCCATCTACCCTGAGTTGTTTTCCAGACTTTTGCCTGAGCATGACGACCAACGCCACCATTAAATCGTCGGAAAGGAATAATCTCTTTCTTCTCAATGACATTTTTCAAATAAGTTTGAGCTCGCTGGAGAGTCATCCCCTTAAAAATTAATGAGTAAATGTGTCTCTAAATACCTTCACTGCACAAGCACACTCATGCATGTTTTTGAAATGGGTCCTTAGATATGGGATCCTTGCTTTGCAAGTTTTACCTTCATCCTCATCCTTGGGTTCCCACGAGTACTTTACCATTATCCCTAAGATTAAACGGCGCCGAAAAACGTGGACGGTCAAACTGCCCGCTTTCAAAAACTGTGAGACAAAAAACAACGTCGAGCTTAAATGGGTTCAAATTTCAGTTGAAGTATTTGATACCTTCGGTATTCGGAGACAGTTGAGGGCCGGCCACTATATATATAAGAACAGGAGTATCTTATCGACAACGTTCATCACTTAACAAACCAGAGGACATAATGAAGTTTCACTCCTGAACCTTAGGTGAAAATGACTTGGACTGCTGAAATTCGCTTTTAGTATGAACTTGATATCTAAACGAGGCAGAAATTTTTTATTGTTGTCCATAAAAGAAAACAATATTGTTCTCTAAGAAATGTTACTTAGATTAATGAAAAAACCTATTACGGTGAATAAATCACCGAAATAAATAGTCCGGAAAGTTTTCGACATTGCTGCCAACCTCTTAGGTTGGTCATGTATCCGTACCAGATCACGAGTAGGTATGCCGTGCTTAGCAACTCTTGTAACTACCAGCCAGTTTACTTCAAACTCTACTCAAAGTGTTGATAATTATCTAGACATATATAATCAAACTCAATCTTCCATAACCCCTGATTTGACTTGGTTTTTTGGTGTTACAGACAAAACTGCTGTCAAACTCTGAATATATATGGTATCTTTCTACTCGACGACGCAAACACCAATCATCTCCAACATGTTTAACAGTAAGTTGTAAGTTGTCAAATGCCATAATGCATGCAAGATTCTATTAAGAGCTCGAAATTTGAAGACTTAAGAAATTAGACCAACAAATAAACTCATATTTATGATGTTAGTGTTAAACACAAGAACCGGTATTAGATAGTTAACTAAATTTGATGAGCTTGTGACAGTAAATAGTCCTGCAAAACCAATAGCTCTGTAAGTCTTCACCTAGCTGAAGGCGCTCGGTCACGCATTCTAACCAGATCACGAGTGGAACTCTGTGCTCAACTTCTTCTACAACCTCTAGCCAGCTTAGATCAGCCACTTCTCGACATATTGCTAGCCTATCAATTATAGCTTTGAACCTCTTCGCTTCTGACTTCTGATTTCACTGGGTAAGGTGTTATCAAATTGCAAGTACTTGTGACATTTTTAAGCTCTTTTAAAACCTGAATCATTGGTGATTGTATCGATAATGGACTTTATTCAGACTATTCTTGGATATTTCATACAGATAATTCTTAGATGTTATCAAATCTTGTCCTCTAGGGAGAATCTCTGAAATATATTTTGTGGTGGCATACAATGTCTAACCTTACAATAAAGCCCATAAATCGGTAGCTGTAGCCTTCAAGCCTACTTCCCATATTTTATTATGTTAATCTTTAGCATAACTATAAGGGTTAAATTCCTAATGTTCAATTTCGCATCATCAGCGGGACCTAATGAATGAGTAGCGAGGTAAATTTGGTTGTTTTTTGGTTATGATTTGCTTCAGTGAACTCGCATCTCATCTGGACTTGACAACTACTCACAATACGTTAGCACGTTCAGACAGTTTTTGATGATCATCTTAGTTGAATAATGTGTAACTGATTACTGAGCGTTCACATGTTGCACATGGATCTTAGAGGATTTAACTATTAACGAGGTGGATAGTTCTACCATAATAAGAAATATGCCTTAGAGTCTGGACTACGTATCGATCATTGAAGTCCTCATCTTCCGTTTTTTTCGAAGCGTGGAAGATTGAGTTTCCTCATTTATTTGGCTGTTGTTGATGCTATCAGAAAGGTTTTCAGGAAAAGCTGGGTGCTCTTGACCACGTGCTTTTAGTATCCCGATCTTGTATTTAATTCTCGCAAATCTCGCTTCTTAACTGTTTGGGACCAGTTAAAAATGTATAGATTCCTAATCTTTTCCCTTCATGGTTTCTTTTAGTGTCCGCTGATTTACGACAAGCAATTAATGGGCTATTGAGTTAGTGAAGTTACAAGTAAAAACTCTATGCTTTCAAAATAGCCATTAAATCTCAAGCGTCACATCTTTAATGTTGATTGATATCATCTGATCAGTTTGAGGAAGTTTCGTAGTCTGTTGCTGCTGAATTTTAGCATAACACAATTTAAAGTTAGGCTCAGCTCGATTGCAGGACATATTATAGGTTTTTATACCGTATAACAGAATCGTGTAGCTACTTAGCTGACATAAGCCTTCCTGAGAGCCATGCAATCCAGTAACTTCTGGTCCTGATCTGCACTAACGTTTTAACCAGCATTCATGACACCAAATTTAAACATAACCATTAAAATTAATTTCACTTATGCGCTTCTATGATAATTAGAAAAATTTGAATTATAGTATGAACTAAGAATCCCAGAGATAACGCGATTGAATCAAGAAGTACTACACAAGCACTAACGAATGTACTGTATTTAGAATTCGAAATCAAACATTCAACAAGTACAAAGGAGTAATTAGTTCGTTCAAACACCACATCCGCCACAGCTTAAATTGGAGTCCAGGTGTCTGTAATTGATTGCATATCTTCTTCTCAAGTTCATCCTGTGTCTGTCCAACAGTGTATTGGATAAAGACTCTGTATTATCTAGGATGCACTCATTAGTATTAGAATTAACAACAGAAATCGGAGCAGACTCACTTGATTTCTGGGATTGTGAACAATCACCACGCCGGTTGAATACTGAAACTACTACCTAGGATATGAACCATAGACTATCCTCCCCCACGAAATAATGTCGTATCTTCATATCCCCAAGTTATGAATAATGTGGCTTCATTTAAAACATCTTTCTCAATTTGACTAGAGTAAACATTGGAAGTGAATTTACGATAAGGACAAACAACAGTTGATATGGAATTATCTGAATTGTAATCAAAATCTAACTCATTTAATACTCGTGCTTCGCATCGAACAAGTTTTTCACAAGAAACAAATGCATCATGAGGACAAATAATATTTGATATGATATCAAGATCTGATTCTTCTGAAATAGTTTCCTCAAATTTATTCAGAATGTCATTGCAGAGTAAAGGATCATTAGAAAAATCAGCATCAATCAAAACTACATCAGATTTTCGATCATGATTAGGTTCATCCGAAATATTCTCATCAGATTTGTAAGAAATTTCATCAGAAATATGTGGATCATTAGGAAAAATCATATCTGGTACAATAACATGAGAAATCTGATATGTTGATTCATTAGAAATTGTTTTCTCGCAAGGATTCTGAGTTTCATTTAACTCTGAACTTCTATATGACTCTAAACTGTCTTTTGAAATCGTCGATAAAGATAAATGATCATTATAAATATTCAAATTAATAGAATCAGAATCACAAGACTTAATATTAGTTGCAGCAAGATGAACAGTAGTATTACAAACTGACTGAATATGTCCGACATCAACACATTTAAAGCACTTACAATTACGAAATTTACATGAATTAAAAGGGTGGAACTTGCCACAAGAAAAACATTGACTAAACTTGTGCCCATGACAATGAGGCAAAGGAACCCAGTCTAATTAGCTTCAACACATTAATTAGAGGAAATATTGGTATAACAAACTATATCAGGTACCTAGGAAATATTGAAAGGCAAACAATTACCACCAAGATAACTGAATGCTTCGAAAGTGCGGATAAGTCTTTATCTTTGGACATAATACTAAAAATGAAGATATCATGTCACAAAACAATTCATTTTCAAACTAGAGTAGGAATTTGTGCAACAGAGATGAATTCATTCTGTTAACTGAACTTATGTTACTTAAATGAGTAAAATGATGTTTGTTCCAACATCATTAATTTTTTTTAAAAGCGAGGTTTTAAAGATCATTCTAGCTGGTTAACTGACAACAGCTGTAAAGCCTGTTATCTGAATTTTGTTCCATTTATTTAAAGAGAGGGAAACTGTCATTTTATTATACCAAAAATATCTTACTACAAATTATTTCCAGCCACTCAACATCTCAGCATAACGCAAGCAATGTCGAGTTACTCAAGTTAGTGGTCAGATTGATCAATAGAGTTAGTTCGGCATTAAGACTAGACAAACATAACAGTAACCACTACTCAGTGATCCATTAATTGTATGGTTACTTACTTACTTGCTTTCTCTAGTTCTTTTTACTTACCTGATTCATCAATGGATGGATTAATTCATTATATGAGCCTGCTATTCCTCATGGGATACAAGCCACCAACCAGAGATGAACTGTATAGAACTTTACAAATTAGATCGAAAAGAGAGGGTATTACTCGAAATCTCTCATCGAAGGTAATCGATATTAGGCCTGATCAATAAAATATATGTAAGATTAACCGCTAATATTTTTATGTTGATATGATGGGAATAAAAGTCAAAATTAGATCGATTTACTCATTATGATTTTTGTTCAACGTTAATTCCGTTTTAATTTAATGTCATGATTACTAAATGTAGCATTTGTTTTGTTTTCCCGTATAACATTTTATTCTGTATAACCTACGATATTCTTGTATAAGATTAACATGAACTATACTCAGTATATGATTTGTTATAATTGTAAGTACTTATCATATATCTGATTTCATCCTGATCATTAATCAAAAATGCGTGTATGAATCAATATATAAATGAGTGTATTTTCGACTAGGGTCGTTGTCGTCGTCGTGTTTCGAGGTTACTAGCAGAGCTTAGCAGCCGATTCTAGCGTTCAATCTAGAAAACACATCATAAGTCTTATTATATGTTTTATATTTTACTTTTAATGAAACCAATTAAATTAAATACACGAAATGAAACACTAAAACGAAAATAAATTCTGTATTACCGATATCATTAATAACAGTATGAGTATAATAATTTACAATGTTGTTTTTCTTATTTTGAACACACTCATATAAATCAATTATTTCTAGTAAAATAGAAAACATTTTATGCCTAACAGAAATTCAATGTTTCAATGTTTCATTTGGAAATAAATTGGACGGAGTAAGTACACTTATGATGATTATTATTAACTAGAATTATGGCACTTTTTTAAAATTTCTCTTTCTCAAACATAGTTGATAATATGGGGGGGGGAAGGTAAAATTATGATCAATTCATTTTTGATGATTTTTCCCTCTATGAGAATAACTATAAATAAAATTTTACAGTTTAAATAAATGGAATTATCAAAAAAGAAAATGGATTCATATTTATGAAATAGTTTATTTACTTATCCAATACTTTCATTTAAAGAAACCAAAATGATAAATCTGTATTGTTTATACGATACATACGTGCACACACACACACACACAAATAGATACCAGTTTCAAATAAATGACATAACTTTTGATGGTGGAATTTGTAATTCATAATTAACCTGTTTAATAGAGAGTAGAATAGTAAATATGAATTTAAATAAAATATGGGTTTGTTGTAAATAATAAATAAAAACCTAAATAGTAAATGAGTTCAATGGATAAAAATCATTGATTCCTTAATCAGTTAATTTACATTGAATAAATTTTATCTTAGCACAGTGAGATAAAATCAACCAGATGACAATAATAACGGTTACAGGAATAGTAAAGATACAAATAGACTGAATTGATTCCATGTATTGATTAAATTGCTTCTGATCTTCTTCTTCTTCTTGCAACTATCTCATCTATTACCGACTAATACAAATTCAGTTGGACAGTAATTGAATATACGTAATTGTAGTAATAGACGATTTAACTATGAGGTAAAACCTTTCAGAGCTATTGTTTTTACGATTATATCCATTGATCGAATTTTTATTAAGTATTTTTGTTTTATTATTTTCCTACAGAATTTTACACTTATAAACTAGAACCGATTATTTGTGTTCTCAGTATTACGTTTTTCACATCTTTAATTTTATTATCCCATGTTAATACTATTACACAATTGGTTTGCTACGTGGTCTGGTCTTGTATACATATAGATGAATGTCTAAAATATAAATAACGATCTTGTTAGTTATTATTGGGCCAACAGCCAAACATAGAGTATCAGTCATCATCATCATCCTTGCTGCGTATTGATTAATTAATGTCGTGGGTTGTTGGACATAACAGTAATATATTCGGTGCTTTCTTGTAGTTTTCTAGACTATATTATTATTTACAAGTAATTATATAAACATTAAGAATATCCTCAAAAGGTGGCTTTTCCATTCATCAACTTATTTTGAAAGTGAGAAGGAATACAAACTTTTTATCAGCTAAATCAAGCGACTAGAGAAGCAAGTCATCATCTATTCTATTAGATTTCAAAGAATAATCAGCCTGCCCAGTATATAGACTATCATATTAGTTTAATTGTATAATAATTACAAATGTGGATCATAAGAAATTATATTCACAGTCTCAGAATAAATCTTCACAGATTATTGCCAATTTCATTGATACATTCATCTATTCAACTAATAAATGTTTTGTACCAGGTCTACAAACATTTGACTTTGGGTGATTGCCTGTGATTGATATTGAGTCTTCAACTTATGGTTTTATCTATTTACTACTATTGGACAAGGTGTTTGTACAATCAGTAACGCTCAGAGCCATAGTCAGCCTAACTTCTCACTTAAATACTTAATGGCTAAGTGGTAAAAAATTATGTAAGATACATCTCAGGTTAAGTCAGGATGTCCACGTTAAAGCTATGGTTTAGCGTTAAAAATTTTCTAATCAACTACGAAAAGTACTTTGTTCGTATAAAATCAACATATCCTTAGAGGATTCTTCCATTTTCTATCCTAGGTTATGTATTAATTTCTGTTCCTTTCAAATTGACTCGGCAGTTTCTTAACCTCAGTACTCTTTATGTAAACTCACATGCCATGCAATATTTTTTTTCTTAGATTATATGATATATCTGTCTTTAGATTTCACTTCTGGTCATATTTCATAATATAATCAACATAAAAAAGAGATACATGTTATAATACTCTTCTTAAAATCCCGTTTCCTAATAGTAAATGATCATTTCAATTCAGAATTTTGACAGCTGGAAAATGCAAACACTCACAAGCAATAGTCAGAATAAAATGGCAGATAGAGTGAATTGCAGTAACTATTTTTCATTAATTTACCGCAGATTACGAAAAGGTCTAATACTGGATTACCTACCGTATATTGGACGATGATTTTCGTATTATTATTATTTACTATTGTTTTCTTCCACAAGACCTGGTCATATCAGAGGACACTTTTCGAAAGTTGAATAAACCGAGATTAAACTATGAGAGTCTAGAGTTTCGTTCATTACATCGAGTCACGAATTACTGAGGTTCTCCGCAAGAACATGTTGTATCATTACCTTCTGCTGATGCACTCAAAGCGATATTAGATCTTCATGTAACTAAAAATCGTGAGGATAAACATATGCTGTCTGACTTCCTGTCCTTATCTGTTGATAAGTTTGATACTGAAAAGCTTATTAATGACTATGTGGCCGCTTCCTAAAACCCCAATACTACTTCGACATGTCAACCTGAACGATAGAGAAAGGGCGCAAAATATAGGTCGAAGCTTCACTCCAACGTTAGGTCATGTAGAGAAAATCATGTGTATTTATAAAGATTCATATGATCGTTGTTTCTTATGTCTATCTGGAAACATATTAAATATTCTAACAATACAGATAATTACCCAACTAAAATTATGATACGTGATCTTTCATTTTTCTAGATGTTTCGGAGGAAAATTTATTCAATGCTGATTAGATAAACTTTAACGATTAGTATTTTTGTATTGTTCATTACTGTGAACACTGAAGGCTGTTGTTCGAAGATTATAATCGATTTATATTATTATTGATCAGTATTTTAGATACTTATTCAGTGAACTTAACTAATAACCACGGTTTTGAGTAGGGACGTAAAGTTTCGAGGAACATATATATTTTAAATATAACATATGGTTTAATGTACAAATCCTCGCATGATTGTTGAATTAAACTATAATTTAACATATAATCCTTTGTATCTACTCAAATGACAGCTATCTTCATTAGAAAACGCACAAACTTCCAACAAATACCACTCAAGATAGTTTTAATGTTGATTAATTTCACTGTACTATCATTCTCATGAATTTCCTATATTCTACTCCCATAAATTCAATTACAAGCGTGGAGTTTCTAGGATCCATAATTAATTTAAGATAAAATGTTCTTGGTACAAAGATTAAATAATGAAATCACTAGTTCTACTGATTTTCTTTAAAAAATAATCTACACATATTTCTTACCTTGGAATTCATATATTGTTGTAATAAATGTCGTAGTTCAGCGTTTTGTTTTCTTAAACCATCTGTATCATGTATTAATTTGGCTCGATGTTTCAGTACATTGTAATATTTTTCTAAAGCTAGATATAAATTATTCCATATTTCTTCCCATTCTTCAGTGACTATGTTCTGTCTGTATACGCATATATATTTGTATGTATAGTAAGAATGAAAAGAGTATTATTAAGATGTATTAAAAAGGATACCTGTTCATTGATAATTTTAGAATGGTTGAATTTACGAGTCGTTGTAAGCCAGATCACCATTGAAAACCTGGAAGTACTGGACGCAAGATCATGGATTGATTGAGATTGAACATTAATTCCTTTGGATATCGGTTCAGTGGTTTAGAGGTTAAGCGTTCGCACGCCCGGGTTCGAGTCCCTCATGAGGGATCGTGAATGTGTACTTCCGAGGAGTTACACACTAGGACAAAACGACCGTCCAGTGATCGAAGTTTTTCAATGGTGGTCTAGCTTTCATCGATTCATGAATTCAACCATTAAAATTACTACAATCTCCACAAATCCCCATTCTGATCATAATTTTAGAATAAATTCAATGATGTGTTACATAACTTCGGTTTATTATATTTCAACTAGTGGCATTACCTAGTGTCTAATAGTTGAAATTTTTCAAAAAAAGACTGTCGTTGAGAATGGATAACAGCTGTAGACGAAAGCACTGAACAGCTGTTTTGTCCTGGTTCAAGAATCAAAAATACTTCTTATAAGTATGTTCAAATCCATTATTATTTTGCACTTATGACAAACTAATAGATTCGCACTGCTCTAATTGATTTTAAACTTTACCATCTAAACTCATCAATCATTGATTCTGATTACCTCATAAACGTCAAACAGGAAAGTTTTACGAGAAAACAAATGTTAGAAACGGGTAAATGAACCAAAAATGGAGATACTTTGAAATATATTCCCCAGGGATTCATTATCGATAATTTTGCTGAGCAAAGACAAAGCTATCTCTGTTGTTCAATACTTAAGCGCTCATTTAATTTATTGACTGTCGGTACATCATCCAAAACTCACCAATCATATTTACTTACTTACATACTTATTACTCAATTTTTTGTACCACAAATGACCTGACGTTTTGTACAGATTAGTTTATTATTTATGCTGCGTTATAATCTTATATTTGATGTTAATGATCGTTATTTTGGTAGAAAACAGTGCTAGATTGGGTTTTATGAAGTGCCGAGTGATCGAGACATAGTGACAGGAAAGTGGTTCTATGATCACTCTCATACACACTCTCTCTAGTTCGATTATCGATCGATTCACCTGTATTGCCAGTAGGACCAGTGACCTTCCATTCACCTATCGACATAACGACCAATAAACAACAACCGCGATTTTAACGTTTGTTGGTCCTCAAGATCCATTTAACTCATTAGTCAATCAGAAAACGAAGATATAGAACAGACGTCTTCCACTGCGCTCAATTATTAGCACAATTCGATGATTACGATGTGTACATAACTCGATTACAAGTGATACAAGATCAGAGAAATAGGGGAATAAATAATTAATAATAAATCTGAAACCATAATACATATGGTAAAAATTTATAAATCAAACAAAAGCTTAGAAATGGTGCATAAAAAATACGACAATTTAAGTATCATTTACAATTTGTGCTTTTACACTATTAGTCCCACTAAATAAATAATCATCTGAGATTTTTAAGTTTGAATCGGGTAAATATTTTCGTCTTCTGATTAGAAAGTTAGTGACTAAAGAAATTTCAATTATTTTCAGTATGATATTGTAGAGATTGTCGAATTTCATTAAAATCATGAACTGATCTAAGTTAGACCGCCAATGAAAACCTAGAGGCACTAGATGGTCATTTTGTCCTAGTATGAGACTCCTCAACAATACACACTCACGGCTCCACATAAGGAAACCAAACACTGTGGAATACCGGTTCAGTGGTCTAGAGGTTAATCATTCACGTGCGCGCGCGGAGCCATATATCCTAGTTTAGAGTCCCACGTAGAGAATCATGGATATATGCTGCTGAAAAATCTTACACTAAGATGAATTAGTCATCCAGTACTTCCAAGTTTTCAATAATAGTCCAACTTAGATCGATCTATGGTTTCAATTAAAAGCATTAATTTATATCAATTGATTAAATGAAATTTATTATTAAATAAAACAATTTTTAAAATTTCTTTTTGCATAAATCATATCAACTAATATTCTTGTTGTTTCATTTGTACTATTTAAACTTGAATTAATATTGATTTGATCATTTATTTATTCGCTGAAGAAGTGGCTTACATTAAGTCATGAAACGTTAAAAAAATTTAATTTTTTTACTCATTAAGATATCTACAAAGATATTCATCTATTCATATCAACTTAAAGTCAGTCATTCAGTAACAACGTAAAAGTTCGTACGTACGTACATAAGTTCGAGTTGTCATAACACATTAGCACAGAGATTCAGTTGTCGATTCAAATCATGTAGCGGTAGAGGTAGTAAGAGTATAAGTAGTAATCGGAAAGATTAAGGTTTGAAGATATCATTCAAGGAGTACAATCCAGTGAAATAAATTTAGAAAGAGAAAAAAAGAAATGGACATGAGAAATTCAGAAGATTAGAATTTTGGAGAACACAAAGGGTGGATGCACCTGCACCATTGCAAACGATTTTGAGCCATGTCATTCAAGGTCTCTAACCATCGGTCGCTATCGTCTTGCGGATCTAAACCAGGTAGTCTACACCCACCACTTATCAGTGACTTCATAGATTTATGCTACGTTTTGGTCTGGCCGCCCTTAGTTTTCTTCCATTCTATACCTAAACCATAAAACATCGCACGTCGGGGCAGTCGGTGGTTGGACATACGTAACACATATTTCAGCCATCTCACTTACTTATATTTATTCCAATAGATTAAATCATTTGAATCATTACGAATTCCATAATCATCAAATGTATTTATTTTATTGGAATTAAATGATTCTTTATTTATTTCAATATTATTTAATGATGATAAATTTTTCATTGTAATTAATGGTAAATTATTTTTGGATTTATGATTTAATTGAATACAAGTTTCTGTAGATTTTGTACTTTTATTATTATTGTCATCAACACCACGATCATCATCAACATCATTATGCTTATTGACGTGATTTTTATCCTTTGAATCTTCATATTTATGCATATCTTCAGTAAATTGATATATTGCATCAATCACATGTACCGGTGAAATTAAATTCCATTTTAATGAAGATTTTTTAGTTTCATGTGATATGGATGACTTTGGAAAAGGAAAGAAAACAAAAACCCAATAAAATCTGTTAGTTCTTTTTTTTATAAAAAAAACTTATCATTTTAGTAGTTCAGATCATGAGTTAATTGAAGTTAGACCATTATGGAATCGCTGGAATTACTGGATGACCGTTAGGTTTATGACTGTTGTTTTTGTGTAAAGAGTGTGGTTTTGCTTTTTTATATTGTGAATTAGTGTTATCTTGAAGAATTCTCAAGCATTTCTTATTGATAATGTTTCCAGAAATCAAATATATCATTTTTAAGCTTTCGAGTTGAAATCCATTGATTAAGATTATTTACTTCAGTCCATTTCGCGATATTGTGCAACTATTTAAGAAAAATGTATTTAGTGAATGACTGACTACCTCACTTCCATTATAGCCTAACCTTATCGGTTACACTAAGCTTATCTATAAAAAATTTAATTAACTAAATACTATTCTGTAATTTTGCCCCCAAATACCTTGATATAACCAAAGGTGGAGAGAGCCCGCTTTCCCCCTGGAAATGCTCTCACATGGCCACGCGTATACAGCCGCTGCCAGGAAAGTTCTACTCACTGCTTTCTCGCAGTGTGGACATTGTTTACAAAACTGAGAGGACGAAAAGCGAATGTCCGACGCTTTAACCGGGTTGGTGCATACGGAAGATCCACCTAGGGGAGTTGGAAAACCCTGATTCCAAACCAGTGGTGCACATGGGCTCCAGGATCCTAAAGAAACAAAAAACGTATGATTCTATTTCTGGTTATCGGTTACCATGAGACTACATCTCTTAACGTTGCTCCATTGTCGTGTGGATGAGACCGCTAGGTCGAAGGCTCGGGGAGTGGCCTCCTAGGAATACCACCTACTTTGGTTTAGGCACTCGGGTATTATTTTAGCTGTCACACAAATCGAATGATTTATGTTGCGCATATATATTTCATGCATTCTTATACCAATGTTTATGTTTTTAAGTAAACATATATTCCACAGTTTGAGTATTGTTATTTTGTTTGTTGAGAAAATGAAATTCATATTATTTTCCTAAAGACAAATTCCAAAGTATGATGATCTAAAATGTTGGGAAAATAACACTGACAACACTCATTTTTAGAAACAACTGTAAAGGAAAATGACCTTAACTGACCACATCCAAGTGTTATTTTAACAATGATAAATGTTATATCAAATATCACTTCTTGAAACTCTTACCAATTGGTAGTTATTAATTAATTAATTATTTTTACTGCGTAATGTATAAAGAAGGTTTAAACAACGATTATGTATTAAATTGAAGACAACCAGCAGCCTTAAATCAAAATACAATATACTCATCATTGAGTTACATAGACTAGTGGTGACAATGGAACTTGACTGATAAGATTCGACCAGTATTAAGGATTAGATATAAATGACACTGACCACTATTAAGTGAACAATTTATATGAATACCCTACTCAAACAGAAGGTCAGTTTTGGGATTAAATAATGAGCGATGACATCTCAGATTGTGAAGTTGAATTATTCGGCTGCGAATGAGACATGGAGTATCCATTCCTTGCAGATTCCTGGGGTAACTTGCTCACAAATATCAATTGGCACAAAATCTAAGTCAAATAGGATTTCTTTCTGACTACCTCCAACCATCAAGCAATTAAAATACATCAACTGAGTAATAAACATGAAAGTAATAAATGCCTCGTAACAAGGGGTATCGTAGTAATAACATTAAACCAAACAATGGTTTAGAAAGATTATCAGTAGAGAAGTTTGGATAGATTGTTGAACTGTGTATATTATATCACAGATTAATCTTAGTTAAGCAACCATTAAAAAACAGGGACCACTGGATTTTTGTATTGTCCTTCGGCAGTGGACAACCATGAATCCATTGAGGATCGAAAAAAAGCCCTTTAGATCTTTCAGTGACAGTTTAACCTTTAGATCACTAAGCTAACATTCAATATCCTACATTTCTAACATCAATCAATTCAAAATATTATTTAACCATCTTTTAATGCCATCGATTAGTAACTAATTAACGGATGATATGGTCGTGGTCCAACAATTATCTCTTTCATTAAGTAATTAATAATTAATTATATGCCTAATTTCAAAAGAAAACTTTTTAATGATTGTTTTGCCCAAAAAGTACATTTCATTTTTATCTAATGAAGAAAGAAATTTTAAAAAAAAACGAGTACAAATAAAACAATAAATATTTTTTTACTTTTTCTAATTTACTTACTTCATCAGTTTTTATTTCATCATCTGAATGATCAATTTTAACTGAACATTTTCCATTACCAGTTGATTGAACTTTATTACTTTCATCTTGTATAAATTTAACAGTTTCATTCATTTTATCAGATGATTCTTGTAAACTTTGTGAGCTGGTATATTTCGATGGAGATTTCTGAACAGATTCACCTGTGAAATTTGATTTAATTGGGTAAAATTTTTATTTAAAACTGATAAGATGATTATAAGCAAAGATAGATAGTAGCTAGCAGTGGAATTCAGGACTCACGTTTCATCCTATTTGGTACTTGTCGTTTGGGTGTACCTGCATCTCAGAGTTGATATGCACTCTAGGACTCGAACCCAATATCGTTCGCTTCAAACTACTACAACTATCATCAAAAAGGTGCTCATCGACGAGGGGTAACAGGCGTAAGTGTGTATACTAAACGCACATTATTCGACATGATATATTATTTAAAAGTAACCATATATTGTCAATAATGTTTATAATATTCATTTGAACTTTAAAAAGAAACTCCACCACAATGTTGAATCAATTAGTTTAATGTACATACTTGAATTTAATCAACATAATTCAGCTCATCATTTATGTTAAGATAGGACTTTGATTGGTACACATCGACTGAGTAGTGTAATTTGACAAAACTCTTTAGCCCCCCTCCACTCGACAAACAAACAGAAACCATATAGATCATTTGTGATAGAAATTTTTATGACTAATAAATACAATAAAAATGTTTGCGAAACTCTGAAACACTCTGAAGTTCATTCAGGTAAACTCTTTTCATGTTATCCTAACTAAATAAATACAAATCTTTATTGTTAATGGATGGCAAACAAACAAATTACTAGAGGTAAACAACAGAACTAAGGGAACGCGTTTCATCCCTATTTCTGACTTGTCACTTGGGTGTACTGGGACGTTAGTACCGATGTTCACAATAATATATGAATCCAGTACCGAATGAAATTACTATAGCATTTAATTATTGTAGTACCTATAACAATGATTGGATTAAGAATAGGGTACTAGGTAAAGATAGGAAATCGATTGATGGAGTGGTAAATCTTTATCAACTTAGCTGACTGGGACATGCATTGTGTATTCTCAGCCACAGTCTACCTTGACGGCCAATGTTAATAGGTGCAGACTATCTAGTTGTCATCCACAGGATTACCATAGCCTATGTTTAGAAACTTTGAATAATATGGCTCAAAATCATTTGCAATGATGCAAGTGTATCCATTCTCTGGTTTCCTCCAAACTCTGGGTTAGTGAAATCCTCAAATCATTTTTTGTATCTTTATTTCACTAATTTGTATGTTCTCGAATCGTATCTTCGATGCTTAATCTTTACTATTATTAAGGATCCTGTTACGAGCTCTACTATTCTTGAATTTGGTGTGACAGTTTCATTTCTCCATGCTTATGGGGCATAACAATTCGAACTAATGTATACAAGTACAGGTTCTACGTTATCACTGACTGACTGACTGAGTACTTTCGACAGTAATGGAAGTTGGATTAAACCTATAATCCATTGACAAATCAAGTATACATCAAGTTAATTTGTTTTATATTTGTAGAAAAATTCAATACTGCAAATAACTGTGTTCAACATTATTGAATTTTGAAAAATTCAAAAAAAAGGTCTCAGTTATCCAATGACAATAGAATTGTATACTGACTTGATTCTTCAATGATTGTTGAAGGTACACGTTTAAGCTGAAATTTATTATCTTTCTGTTGTTCGATAAAATATGTAAATAACATATTTAAATCTTCTTCTGTTTGTACACCTAAAACCTACATAGAAAAAAACAAAAACAAACCAATGATCCAAGGTTGTAAGATTTCATGATGTTTTCATCAAACGATCATATCACATTTCCAAAATTATGCTATAAAATAAGTGTACTTGTTATGATTCAGTTCTTGTAAGCAGTTATAACTTGGGGCTATGATGAAGGATGACCTCCTCAGAGATGTTAATTGTCGTCATACACTATTTTTATCCAACAGTTGTAAAAGATTTTTTTGAAGGTAACTTTTCACTGCATCAGACTTCTCAAAGTTAGTTCACTCAACTGATTCAACTATAAGGATTAAGTTTTTATCGAACTTAACAGTATTCAAGCAGAGGCACTGAAAGCAGACGTAGCGGTAACTGCAAGGATACTCCACATTCCCTTCAATAAGATTTGGGAAGGGGAACAAGTACCAAAAGACCGAAAAAAAGGACTTCTGGTCAAAATACCTAAGAAAGGTGATCTCACCAACTGTGATAACTACAGGGGAATCACTCTTCTCTCAATACCAGGAAACGTCTTCAACACGGTATTGTTAAACAGGATGAAGGATTCCGTAGACGCCCGACTTCGAGACCAACAGGCAGGATTCTGTAAAGATAGATCGTGCACAGACCAAATCGCAACTCTACGGATCATTGAGGAACAGTCAATTGAATGGAATTCATCACTCTTCATCAACTTCATTGACTACGAAAAAGCATTTGACAGCGTGGACAGAACAACCCTATGGAAGCTTCTTCGACACTACGGCGTGCCTCAGAAGATAGTCAATATCATACAGAATTCCTATGATGGATTAAACTGCGAAATCGTGCATGGAGGACAGTTGACAAAGTCGTTCGAAGTAAAGACCGGTGTCAGGCAAGTATGCTTACTCTCACCCTTTCTCTTTCTCCTGGTGATCGACTGGATCATGAAGACGTCGACATCTGAAGGGAAGCATGGGATACAGTGGACATCTAGGATGCAGTTGGACGATCTAGACTTCGCAGATGATCTGGCTCTTTTATCACAAACGCGACAACAAATGGAGGAAAAGACGAACAGTGTAGCAGCAGCCTCAGCAGCAATAGGTCTCAATACACAAAAAGGGAAAAGCAAGATTCTCCGGTACAACACAGCATGCAACAATCCAATCACAATTGACGGAGAAGATATGGAAGATGTAAAAACCTTTACATATTTGGTCAGCATCATTGATGAACACGGTGGATCTGATGCAGATGTGAAGGCACGGATCGGCAAAGCAAGAGAAGAATATTTACAACTGAAGAACATTTGGAACTCACAATTGATTGATCACTGGGTGGTGACCAATGTCATGCTTGTCTAGTCCTTATTATTAGTGCAGATCGAATGCTATCGACCATGTTGCAATGTGGCCACCAGTCTAGGTGACTCGATACTGCGGGCACTATTGTGAGATTCGATAGTGATTGGAGGTAGTCGACAGGAAACCCTGGACCCGGGTTTCGTGCTACTTGGCACTCGTCAGCAAGGTGTACCTGTAGTGTTGAGGGAACTGGTGCACCCTGACGGATTCGATCCCGTGTCACCCAGCTTCACAGTCAGAGATGTTACCACTAAGCTATCCGGGCCGCGACCGACCTCCTGTAGGACTGAGATGTAATCAGTGGGAGTAACAGGCGTAAGTAAGTATTAAGTAATAGTATTCAAGATAAAATTTACATCTGTAAGACAGGACAATAATGTTTTGAAAAATATTGACATTCTAGACTTATTCTACTTTCAGGAAAATGAAAAAAAGTTGATTGTCTTGTTAGTTCCATTTGGTGGGAAAAATGGATCAGGTTCGTCCAGGTAAAATTGATTATTGAACAGAAACACTGAAATTTATATTTTTACAAAGTTGTATAAATCAATTCAGTTAGATAAAAGACTAAACTTTGACCGACAATAAAATGAATAATGTAAAGAACATGGAACAAATAGAACATGGCTAGCAGTGAAATCCAGGATGAAGGCACAAAACTACCGTTTCGTTCTAGTATGAGACTCCTCAGCAGTGCCCGCTCACCGTTCCCCATGTGGGACCCGAACCCACGGCATTTGGTCCCGTGCAGGAACGTTTAACCTCGTGAATTCAACTGTTAGAGTACTACAATATTCACAAATGTCCATTCTAATAATAGTCATGTGATCACTAGTGACCAACTTCAAGATTGACTCCCTGGAGTTCTAGTGAGAAACCGTAACCAGTGGAGCCCAGTTCGTGTCGAGTGTAAGACAGTTATTTACCTCAGAAAATGGATAAACGGTTGCGCGAGATCATGAATCGGTTGAAGTTAGACATGAACACTATCCGGTGCCAGCTAACTGGTTTAGAGGTCAAGTGTTCCTCTGAGAGACCAAACGCCTTGATTTAGAGTCCCTCACAAGGGATCGTGGATGAGCACTTCTGAGGAGTTCCATATCAGGACGAGATGGCCGTTCGGTGCTTCTTGATTGTCACTGGTAATCTAACATTGATCAGTTCGTGATCTTCATAAAAACTCAACAATTTCCATAACCCTACACTGTTAATATTTATTCAATTTAATTTTTCTTAAAAACTTACCGTTAGTATTGTATCTAAACGTAGAAGTAACCCTTCTTCATATCCTAACGGTTCTAACAAACGTTTTATGTTTTCATCAATTAAAAATTCCTACAATTATTGTTATAAAACAAAAAGTAATAATGTCATTTAACTAAAATGTAAGTTGATAAGAGTTTAAATTTCTCTGTTTTTTACGCATCCATTTTGAATATAATTGTTAAATCTCAACCAGTAGTATGAGGCCAGTTATCATTTTGTCAATGTTCACTAAAAGTGTGATATCTCAAATTTCCTAGAATTTTTTTGTTCATGTAGTGTGTCAGTGGTGTAAGATTATAATTTCCTCAGAAGATTTCAATTTAGTCTTCTTTAGTTATCTACAGAACACGTCTGTGTAGCACATTTCAACTTATCGTATGAAAAGAGCAAATAAAATGAAAATGAGGGCCTGAAATGAAATCTGTGGTGAAAATTATGTTCTTATGTCCAGGATTCACTCACTAAATGATAATGCATGTATATTGAACAATGAAAAGCAAATCTGCAACAAATTCACGAACACATATTCCATCCCTAGTCAGTATAAACTGATAGATGGAAGAGATGTACTCATCATACTGGGATTCAAATGTATACCATTCAGAAGCACACAGCCAACATACTTATCATTGAGTTACTTAGTAAAAAACATTAAAATATAACAATCATGGTGAGCTGATAGTCAAAATTTGACAATTCAATACAGTTTACTATCGTATGGTGTATTTAAATTATCATATTGTATAAATTGGTTGATATAGTTTGATGTAAATTTTTTAATGAATCGCTAAACGTTCACTTCTTATAGAGTGAACACAGTCAACAAGTATCCTATGATAAAATAGGATATGGATTGTACCACACCACGAAAAAAAACTAAATGTTTTACTCAGTGTGGATGTATTGTCTGTAACTCAATGGTTGAATATTACCTCACTCTCCACGAACCCTGACAATAGTTAGTTTAATAATACCTATAGTTATGGAAGTATATTTTTGAACAGCCTAATTAAAATACCTGTTTAATGGTCTCTTATTATATCAAGTTTTTAGCTGGTACTAATCTGAAATCAAAAGTATCTGCAAATTAACTGATCTCCGACTTTTAAATTAGTTGATATGTAATTTTATTTTAAAAGTTTAAAAAAGTATGTAATTCAACAAAGAGATCCCTTTTGAACATATTTACTATCAAGCTATACGGAGATATACATATGCATTACCACTTAAGAGTTTCATATTAGAATTTAAGTGGGGTTCAATACTTCCTGATTTTTAATGGCTGTTTAACTAAAATCAGTATGTCATGTAAACTTCATTAAGTAACAATCTCCACAAGCGCTCGACATTGACAATAATTTATGACGATTTGATAAACAAATTCAATACACTTTAAAATGTTATACGTTTTTAAAGTCTAATTTAATTATGATGAAAGAATGCGAAAACTTACAGGCTCATAACACAGTAAGTGCAAAAATTCTTGTACAGTTTTTGATGAAACTTCTTTCAATGTTGTAGGTATTTTATTTCCTGAGGTTACATTCTGTGAATCTGGAAAGTTTCTAAAAGATTGAAAGTTAATCGATATTTAGAAAAAAACATATTGGCTTATACGACGATTAAATAGGTAATGTGTAGAGCGAATCCGGAAAAACCAGACAGATTTTAGACCCAGATTTGGATTTACCAACTAAGTATTCGCCTCATATAAGATTGTAGAACGTTTAATCTTCCATTAAATCATTAGTTTCAAAGTTATCTCATACTTTCCACTTTGCGACTTCATATTCTCTTTTCATTTTGATTATCTATTTCCAGTGCTTCCTATTACCGTAACTAGTTGTATTTCAGTGTAATATGATGTTGTGACAACATATACCGATGTATAAAGTGACAAGTTCTATGTTGCGCGTATGATGACTGATTGGTTAACTACTAAAGTTTTGGTGATTATTAGCATGATGAGCTATTCATGAGTTTTCAATAAACAACCTATAGATCTGTACTTTGTCTGAGTTTAAAACTATCAAATTCCAGTGCATACTAATGTTCTGAAATGATCAAACTGAAATATTCCAAACATAAAATATCAACTAATCACTGATTTACCATAAATTTGGACAAAGAAAATCACTATTGGTTTAAACTCAATGTTACATAGATTTTATGGATATCAATTATCAATAGTGTAAGTTTTATGCTTAATTGAATACAAGTTCTAAATGGGATAGAAGAATAAATTTTCAATTTACTTCTTGTCAGATTGTAAGGCTAATTCCATTGCAATGATAGCTGGAGGTTTATTGGTGATCTGTTTCAGTGGACCCACATTTTCCATGAATGATCTAGAAAAAAAAACAATGAGATGTACTATATATATATGTCAATGGAAACCATCAATAGTAGTTACTGATTATGAGCATATTCATTTTTTTAAAGCTATTTTTATTTAAAACTATGATATATTCATTTATGAGTTTTCAGTAAGCAGATACTCGAAAAAGTCTTAAAATGAAGATAATTTTGATTAACATGAAGGATCTATGGAGATTATTCAATTTGAAGATAGTTTACGTCTCACAGACCTACTGTAAGATAACAAATGTTCAAAATAAGGAAGCGTCGTATAACTATTTTCGTTGTGGTATATAACTTCTTGGCAGTATTCATTTACAAAAACACTGATAACCGGATCCAAAATCTTCACATATTGCAGAGATCCCGTTATCATCAGATTTAGTAATGTGTCTTTTGAGCTCAACAGCTAAGCTACGACATTTTCATTGTGTTACTACTAAACAACATTATCAACGAAAACTAGTCAAGGAGTAGAACGGGAGTTTCATGAATAAACTACTCAACAAGAACACAAAAATATTCTATAATAAATGGTGAATATTCACCATCATCTCGAACTGCAAATGGGACTAAGAATTTCATATTTCTTTAAGAATCCTGATACAATGGCTCCTATGTTAATGATATTAACTTACGTTTTCGTATTGAATATATTGTTGTTGAAGTTTAATCAATAAAAAAAATACGACTTAGTAATTAAGTGTACATTCGTGTACTCACTTTGGACCATAATTTACTTTTGATATGTAGAGGTTTTTAGTAATATTACCAGGTCGCCCAAACTGCACCAAGTAGATTGTGACTCAAGCCTATTTAAACACCGAAGCCTAGTACATTCAAGCCTCACTGAGAATACGAAATGTTTAGACTACTAAACCTAATTCAAGTTGTTCATTTGTTATTATTTTGATCAATCTGTGGTTTCAAGTGATCCTTATATAATGCCACTATTTAGTCAATGGCCTCATTCTTGACTTGCATGCGTCTTCAATGTTTACGGCTTTCCACCTCAGAAAATTAATTTTGAAGCTGATTATTAATACTTATGTAACAAATCAAAAGCCAATCAGTTACTGTCTCTGATAACAGAACTATATCTTTATAACAATCGTACGAAATGATCATGTTTATTTACTTACTAACCTTAAAAGAATAGTACCATTGAATGTAAAAATTTTTAATCCATAAAAGCATTGATAAGTAGTAATTTCGGTTCTAGTTAAATATCCAGTGAAAATGTCAAATAAAACAACAACAACAACAAAAACTTTTAAAAACTGCAATTTTTTTCTTTTCAGTAAATAAAAAGAAATATTTACATATCTGGTGGATTCCATGTTAAGCCAAGTTGTTGTTCAGTAATAATTCGATGTGCTTCCAGAAGACGATTACCTAATTTTTTCAAATTCTCTTCATTCATTATCCAAATATCATGGAAATTTCTTTGTACACCATCTATTAACAATCTTGATTAATATGTTGTTTTTTTAAAAAGAAAATCAAGAAATACGAGATTTGAGTAACTCATTAAAATTGTTGCTTTCTTAACTAAACAAATTGTTATTTATAGTTTAATTAATGAAAATAAGAACATAAATTGATCATGTTATCTGACTTTTATTAGAAATCATGTTGACGACAGTATGATATGGGTTACTTATATCCATACAAGTAGTATATGTAACGGTGGTCAGGTATAGAATGTATTTCAGTAGAAGATCGATAAGGAAAGAACGAAAACGGAACGTAATTGGTATGAAAATGCATAAACAATGAAATCTGAGATAATGGACTGATCTTTGCAAAGGAACGGTCAAATTTGAGACGATGGATTGATATTTTGCAAATTAACTATTTACTATATGTTTCTCAGATTTTATTGGGATGCTCTCTGCCTACTTGTGTTCTTGTTCGCTACAACAGGACTGTTCATCTTCGCAGTTTAAATCTAGGACTAACCTTAGCGAGATCACTATTGAGAACCTGGAAGCACTGGACGACAGTTTTATCCTAATATGGGACATATCAGCAGTGCTCGTCCACCACATTGCATCTGTAAACCGATCCAGGACTTTTAATCTCACGCGTCTACATCAATTGTACACCATTTGGTTCCGGCTCAGTGGTCTAAAGGTTAAGTGTTAGAGCTTAAAATATGGGCTTAACTCTCTGTGGTGGGATTTTGTGTGCTCACTGTTGAGGAGTTACATATTAGAACAAAACAATCATTCAGTGCCTTCAGGTTTTTCAACGGTGGTCTAACTAAGATCCGTTCGTGACATAAACTGCAAAAGTTTTACAATCTCCACAAATCCCCTCTATATTAAGTAACATTATATATGATAATGCTTTAAGTATTAATAATAAGAATGGTGATCGTTTTAACATAAATATAGCGTACGTATCAAGAATCTTGTTTGCGTTTCCCCAAGTGATATCATTTGTGGTGAGACACCTGTCTTCGCATCAAGAAGAGAGCTTACTGTTTAAAACTTCTTTTTGTCTTAATTCATGATTTTTGAAAATGAGGGATATATACAGGTTACTAGTATTTGATCGTAGATGACTTCGCACAATAAGTTAATCATATCGGAACCACTGAGTGACTAATACTGAGGTAAAGAGCACATTACTAAAAATAGAAATGGTAAACAGGTTGATCAAGTTGTGAATCCCTATCCACAGGTGTGCTTAGAATACGGATTACACGTAATCAAAAACCCCTTATGTCCAGTATTGGCTAGAATAAAACTATATTGAAATGAAGTTAACAACAGACAAACGGAGGTTAATAATAATTATATTTTGTGATATCCCAAAAATATATTTGATTAACTTTCTACCCAATGCTCAGTTTATTTGAAATATAAAGTCCAACCTTGAGATTGATACCTACAGACAAACGGAAGGTTCGAATCAAGTCCTAAGATCACTAAAAATTCGTCTGAGCTACGCCAGTAAATACAAACATCCTACCTTCGATCCCCTCAGTAACTATGATCAACTCGTTGGGGGTAACTGTTTTAGATAAGATGGCGACAAGTCTAGTCAATCAACTATGGGGATGTTAAGATAAATTCAGAAATTCAACCCATGATACAATAGAATGAAGTGAGATATTACTGTTTCATCACTAAACATAGATTATAATTATCCAATAGACTCCAACCACGAATTTCACATCATGCCATAAGGTTCAACCACCAATCCGTAACTTCATGGACTATTATCATGTCTTTATCTAATCACCTTTATCCTTTTTCAGATTTACTTCTACACTAGCCTTCAGTGTACATCAAGGTAGGAGATAAAGAGGAGTGTTTAACACACCTGTCAACAATCTCATTCATTGAAGGCTAAGGTCCTCATAAACTTATTCATCATCTCTAATTAATATTCTATATTTATCCACTCAAAGCTTGTTTCACACGATCAATACTTTGAAAGAATCTATGATGAATGATTGGCAATCTACGTATATCATTAACATGAACAGGATATGTTTCACAGACACTGTATAGAATCATAAATGTAATCCCATTAGATAATTTGAAACCAATAACAAAGCAAATTTTACACATTACACCTAATTCTCATTTGTAGTTTTAATGTCTTTAATCAGTTTATAATAAACACAATTTATTTTCAAGATTTCTAATTTAAGGGATAAATAAAAATGAAGCAGTTACACTATACACAGAATCATACTTTGATTTCTTTTGTAAATCACTATAATTTTCCATTCTTCTTTTATAATCTTCAGATAACTGCTCATTTTCTACTCTGAAAAAACAGGATAATAATAATAATAATGAGGAGAATCAGTTATTTCTCATGTGATAATATTAGCTATTTTGTGTAACAATACAATGAGCTGCATGTGACGTGAAAAAAGCATCCACTCTATAGAGAGTAATTTGTCTTTTTGTAGAATGTTTCATTATTTAGACAACTTTATGAGATATTTCATTTATCTTGTCAGTATGATTAGATTGAAAAATCGATTCATAATGTAATAAGAAACTTAATTATTATTGTTACCCTTCGTCGAAGAGCATAAGCCACCAGCATTCTCCATACAACTCTGTCCTGAGTAATCCCTTCCATATGTTTCCAGACGTTATTCATTCATCTAATGTCTGCTTCCGATTCGCAACGCAGTGTGTTCTTCGACCTTCCTCTTTGGTGTTTCCCTTTAGGATTCCCATTTAGGACTTGCCTAGTGATGTAGTTCGGTGATTTCCGTAATGTATGTCCTATCGACGTCCATCATCTCTTCCTAATTTCCTACTCAGATGGAAGCGGGTTTGTCCTTTCCCATAGCAGGCTGTTGCTGATGGTATTCAACTAACGAAAGTTGAGTATATTCTGTAGAAAATTATTTATAAATACTTGTACCTTCTTGATGATGTTCGTAGTAGTTCTCCACGTTTCAGCTCCGTATTGAAGATATTCATTTTGATACTGGTTGACAGTTGTTTCGAGTTCCATATGTTCTTCAATAGTAAGAATGTTGTCCTTACTTTTCTAACCCTCGCCTTTAAGTCTAAACTAGATCCTCCTTGTTCATCGACGATGCTTCCTAGGCACGTGAAGGATTCCACCTTTTCCAGAGTTTCTCCATCAAGTGTGGTTGGGTTGGTGCTCTCCGTGTTGTATTTGAGGATCTTGTTTTTTTGTGCATATTGAGGCTTATTGATGTAGAGGTTTTTGCTACACTAGTTATCCTCGTCTGCATTTGTTCGTGTGTGTGGGATAGAATAGCTAGGTTATCTGTGAAGTCCCAACCGTCTAGATGCGTGCAAGCTGTTCATTGTATTCCGTGTTTCCCCTCCAGATGTGGAGGTCTTCGTGATCCAGTCAACCACCAAAAGAAAGAGAGAGGATGGTAGTAATCAGCCTTGTCTGACTCTAGTCCTCACTTTGATTGCGTCTGTTAGCTGTCCTCTCTTCACGACATTGCACTGAAGTCAGGAAGCTGTAGTTACAATAATTATACTTATATGTATATATTACTTATATATAAACTGTATGTTATTGAAAACTACAAAACACGCTAACAAAACAATATGAAGCAGATTCAATCTCGTGAGGGAAATTCACTGAACAAGTGAATAGTAATCGTCTAGTAATTAATACTATTTAAGTTTTATGTGAGACAAAAGAGGCGGATTCATTTAAAATGAAAAGCAAGTTCGAAGTCTAAAACAGAGATAACGTTACACATCGATTAAGTGATATATCACAATAGGTGAGTGACTTTCATATGGTGAGAAGAAGCTTTAAAATCAACTCTTATTTGTTTGAATAGACAACCTTTCATCAAACATTATTTCATCACCCGATGACCATTGTAATGAACGAGAACAAAGATGGGGAAAACCAACTGTGTTTTAATAGAAAATTAGAGTTTTGTCATCAAATGTGAAAACCATATGTTCAATACTTTATTTTTAAACCTCCTATCAGTTATCTCAAACTTCATCGTCCCTTCATTTCCATAATAAATACTCTCTGTTTCCATACTCTTCGATTCGATCTTCCCAATTTTCTGCTGCTAAAAATTCCATTTCTGACTGGTGTTATATACTACTAGTGTTTGTCGACAGATATAAGTAGCATACACCACACTATTATATAAGTTTTGTTCCATGATATTGAATACTCTATGATTTGAGTAATACATCTTTAATAATTCTATTAATCAGGACAACAATGAAAGTATTTCAATTAAACTAACAAGCTTGAAGAATTCAACACCATTAAATACACTTTTGTCGTAAAATTTTTATTTATATGATAGAAAATAAATATGTATGTATTAGTTTAGAAGTTATGGAGATTGTCGATCTCCACAACCCTTAAACTGATAATTACAATATGCTCACTAGTGACTAGCTTTGTGTCGAAATTCCCGGAGTTCTGGTGAGAAGTCGTGACCAGTGGAGCTAATCCGTGTCGGGTAGAAACAGGTGTCTACCGCAGTACAATGGAAGATGGTCGCGCAACTTCGTTGATTGATTGAGGTTACACATTAATACCGTTGGATGCCGGCTTAGTGGTCCAGTAGGTTAAGCGTTCGCGCGCGAGACTGAAGGCCCTGGATTCGAATCCAGCGAGTGGGATCGTGGGTGCGCACTGCTGAGGAGTCCCACAATAGGACGAAACGGCCGTCCAGTGCTTTCAGGTTTTCAATGGTGGTCTAACATCAATCGGTTCATGATCTCAATCAAAAAATATGTGTGTGTTAGCGGGACAGATTGGATTAAAGCATGCTCCATGCACGATTGCGTTGGAACAAGCTGATTGGCTAATTCTTATCCAGGCAGCGCTAGTCGATACTTGGAGAACACTCTAGAATCTTTTCATGTAAAAACTACAAATATACTAACTTTTTCCCTGTTGTGCTTCTTACTTCCATCTAACCTTTTTATCTGGAATATAATCTCTTTCCTGTTCAACCGTGTTCTGATTTGGGGACTTGTCGAGTGAACTGATGTCCGAAAATACTAAGCAATAGCAATAACTGGGTTGTAATAAGAGAAAATGATGACAATATGACTTAATCAAAACGCAGATATAAATCATAAAATATAACTGTAAATTGTCAACAGTCTCAATTGAATTAATACTCACACAAAGAAATACATATTACTCACTTGTATTGTTGTTCTTGTTTAGTTGATTTTATACGTAAATTATTCAATGTATCTTGTAGACGTGTAATTCTTCTTTTTTGATTTGATTTAAGCACTGTATTCTCTTCATCACGTCGTTTTAAAACTTGATAATTATAATCTAATTTTTCTAAGTTCAATTGATATGTAGATTTTAATTTTTGTAAATGACTTTCAAATGTCTAAATTCCACAAAAAGAAAAACAAAAAGCGTATACTAAAGTTGAATAGTATATTGAATGAATAACATAGAGTTCTATTTATATACAAAACACTTCATCTTCAAAAACCAAGTGACTGATTGATTACATTTAGGTAATGAAATAATCGAGTTTGTAAATAATTTTCTTCATCTCGGTCGTTTTGTTTTCTATTGTCTCTAATTAGTTTCAGTTTTACATTAAAATGACTTATCTAGATTGTAAGAACATAATAAAACTAAAAGAATCTGTGTCCGGTTAGTAGGGAAGATGATTGAAAGCGATGTTCGTATTATGTGTTGTAAACTGTAGGATAGTTAGTGTTGAATGTTCAAGTACATCAGACTTACACATATTCGGTAGCACACAAAGTTCATGATCCCCCTCAAGCTCTTCAGAGCTTCCAAATAAAAAGAAATATTCACTGTCTTCCCTTTACAGAGAGATTGATGATGAATAACAACATGAATGTATATATTTTCTCATTCGTAATCCATGATTCGATTTTTATTCTTTGCTCAATTACATCAGATAAATTTCCTATTCTTAGAAGAATGATTTTGTTCCCCGATGTTTATTCAGTCATGTTGAAAAAAGAAATAACTTAAGGTAACAGTCAAACTTACAAGATAATGGCAGCTTTCATCAATTAACAGTTAAATAAAAATAGGCTGCCAAGTTTAAACTAACTCTACACTTGAGAAGATAAATAAGAACATAGAAATTTGAGAGCTGCTTCAATCAATAATGTCAGTATAAAATGTACCGGTATGTGTAAAGATGCTTTTAGGTGTCTTTCAGAATCAACCAATAAGACTGTGATTTTATGGCTCCGAGTTCAAATCCACACGAAATATTTTTAAAATGGTGATTTTAATACCCATTCCGTTTTCATTTATTCTCTTTAGATATTTTAAAGAAGAATTGAATTATCTGAAGATGAAAATGCACTGAAAAATTGCATTTCCATTAGTCAATAATACATTATGACATTATGCTATAGTAAAAATTGCAATATCAGAGTACAAGAATACAAATAGTCAATATGGTAACATGTGCAAAACTATGTTAAATCACTGGTCAAAAAGAATATAACAATAATAACAAGTTTGATTATATAATATCTGTAATACTGAACAAAAAGTTACAAAAATACATCAAACAATTGCTATCCTTTAATTGATATCACGATTGATGTTAATTAAGCAATCATTGAATTTAGTAATCACTTGACATTTATCCCGTGCTAATCATGTACGCTCATTAGTGACTGATTTCAACAGGTAACCCCCGAATATATAAACTATTGAATAACAGACTAATAGTCTGAAGGTTAAGCGCTGACCAGCAGACGTAGAAGTCCTGGGTTTGATCCTCTATAGAGCAATCGATGCGTGTTGTTAATAAGTACCGTTTTAAGAATGAACAGGTGTCCAGTGATTTATGGTTCATAAAGTTGTTTAACTAAAACCAGTCAGTAACGCAAACGATGAAACCCTCTATATTACTTGTGCTGTCTACTTAACAGAATCATTGGTTGAATTCAGTTAACGTTCTATTAATTGTCAAGTAGAAAACATTTAAATAATCTTTCTAGATAATCATTTAAGCTGATAGTATAATCGTTGTGAATGCTGATTGCTTTTCTAACCTACTAATTCCTCTTCCCATAATATATATCACAGAAGTATATAAATTTAGTCTGATATATTTGCGAGGTGTAAAAGATCATAATTTTCTCATTATCATGATTAATTTACTGACTTACCTCGACTTCAGCGCCTAATGATATTTTCAGTGCATTGTACTCTTCTGAATATTTAGTACGTAGATCATAAAGTTCTTTCTCATATTCAATAGCCTGATCTTCACGTTGTTTTAAATAATTAATCTTTGAGAGTCATATAAAAAAGAAAATTAATCAATGGGAATAGAACAAATACACTAGTCTAATTAACACTATAAATTAAAACAAACTGATTACCTCGATATGCGATGTTGTCTGGTGTAGGAGTAGACTGTAATAAAGCTAATGAGTTATTAAATGAAGATGGCGCATCAGTCCATGAAGTCATTAAACATTGAATTGATACATGTTGGTAGGTGCAGACTACCTGATTGGAATCCATGTGATTATCATAACCGATGGTTGGAGATGTTCAGTGATATAGGTCAAACTAGGTTTGAACGACGTAGGTGTATTTACTCTGTCCTAAAACATCTATGCATCCCATTTCTTTTTTTAAGTCATATTGTATAACCATAATCTTTTATACTATAACTGATACTTCCATTAATTGTACTACTCTGTGACTTATCTTGATATTTTCATTTTTCTGTGTTGATGTGGTGTGGGAGTTTGAAGTAATACACACTCGCAGCAGATTCTATATTGCTTATGATCCATGTCTTTTACTAAATACTTAATAGGAAGATGGTCATAGGATTAATCTTAATAAAAATAACCATTTTGAAATGTTGTATCAAATTGATCTAAGGTGAAATCATCTCTAGATCTGTATATTTTAAAAACTGTTCGTACCTACATTAAACCAAGTTAAAATTGATTTCAATTTTATTGATATAAAGATTAGTGTACAGAAGATATTATTGTTTCTGATGATTCCTTTACTGTACTTATGTTTTCATTTGTTAAATTTAAATTCTACAAAACCCATGTTGATATTGTTGTCTAGAAGGACAGTGAAAACTTTACATGTAAATTAACTATTGCTACACGATCTTTTTAAACATGAACCCAATCGGCTACTTGGGTAAGAAGGGAGTTCACCGACTAAATTGAATCGACATTTACGTATATATCACCAGGCCGGTTTTTATTGGTCTTACTCATACTATGCAGCTCAGAGATCTCAATCTTATTGTAATCTTTCAGATCGTTTTTATATGGAGCATAAAATATTTGATTTATTTAACTGTATGCTTAAATCCCCCATTTTTAATAACGATGCTATGCAATAATAGTTAATATTGTGTTTATTGATAAGTGTGCTACCATGAGCTTCATAAATTACATTCGATCATCTGATTTCTCTATGTATCAGCTATGTGAAATGGTACTGACGGAGTGACAAACAGTCTTTAAGTAACAATAACAGCATATACTACTACACGTCAAAACTAACTGCATTTTGTAAAAGTTATATCATGATTAAAAATAGCTGACAAGCTTCATGTGGAAGGGAGTGGGGGAGAATAAGAATTATAAATGCCTACCATTTTTCCTCTTTAGAAAAGTATCGTGATCGGTTCATGAACTCAATTAAAACTCAACAATCTCCACAACCCTTTACTGATAACTGTCATGTACTCACTAGTGACTAACCTCAAGAGGTAATTTTCAGAGTTTTATTGAGAAGCCGTGATCAGTGGAGTTCAATCATGTCAAGTGTAAAACAGTCACCTACCGAAGACAATGGAGGATGGTAGCATGATATTGTGGATTGTTTAAAGTTGGACATTAACCTGTCGAATGCCGGTTCAGTGGTCTAAAATTCAAGCGTTCGCACACGAAACTTAAATTCCTGGATTTGAGTCCCTTTGGTGAGGGATCGTGGATGATAGGATGAGACGGCCGTATAACGCTTCCGAGTTTTCGATAGTAGTCTAACACTGATCGGCTCATGAACTCAATAAAAAATATCATGTGATTGATTCGTTCTCAATCTTTTAATATGTCTGATAACAGGAATTTCATTGGCCGAGCCGATTAAAATGCTGCTTTTCATTGGAGAGAGAAGGGTATAGGTCAATGGTGAAGGGGGCGGAAATTTTGGAAATTAATCTCCTTTCCTTTAAAAAAATGATTCTCATTTAAAACATCCTACTAAAAATGGTCTCTTTTATACTAAACAGTAATAACTTTTTTAAAAAAACAGTATCAATCAACAATTTTTCTTCACACACACACACACACAAATTCTCATATATAGGAGTTTACTTGTTTCTGTTTGATTTCATTCATCAACATTCCCCATTCAGCGTTTTGTTCACTAGTTAATTTTTCTCGTTGATCTAAAAATGCATTCTATTAAATTAAAAATAAATAATGAAAAAATTTTAATAGACAGAAAAATCAATTACAAATTTAAAGGGCTTTTTGTTCCCTTCAGGTAAATGATTGAAATTATTTGTAAAGTGTCTGATGTATATATATTCACTATTTATTGAATGGGTGACAACTGTATATTAAAGTACAATTATTCAGAAATGTCTATTATGAACATGTCCAATGTAACCCATTCAGTAAACATATCAAATGAAAAACATATAAATATGCAGTAAAATGTTTACTTAAGGAATATAACATTATAGATGAACAAAAAAAGAATTATTAAAAGCTCTGGGTACAGTTTAATTAGTGAATATTCAAAACATTGTAGTTAACGCCAAACTGATAAATTGCTTTATGAAATTAAAATGGTAACCGAAAAACATTATATAAGATAATAGAAATGATTTACAGTAGATAAGAATATCGTTTTATCAACCTAATAGTCTAACACTACAGTTCTTGATTTAGAAAATTCGATTATTTCAAGGAAAGAACAAATTAATTTGTAACTCATAATGCTAATATGAAATTTTAAGAACTTGTACCGTCACCGTGACGAACTACAAATGCTGATTTTCATCAATTTGCGTCTATAAATTAATCTTCCAAACCATTAGTTATGGTCTAAATAGGTCAGTGAAATTGTTTACATTTATGAAATAGAATATTACAATAATCTCAATCCTTTCTAGGCAAATATGTTTTATTTTCTTAAAGTTGATAACAAATATGAAATCTAAACGTTAGGGTCTCTTAATTATTTCATTTCAAACATCTAAACTACAATGGATGCTTTCTTAACTGATTAAAAAAAAAGAACATTAAGTCCTTGGTCATTGAGTTGAAATAAATTCAACATTAAACGATAAGGTCTCAGACGGTGAAACTGATTAACGATGGTTTGGAATATCAATTCTCCTAAGACTGAAAGTGTACCTTGCTGATGAGCTCCGACAAGCACAAAGCCTAAATAAAACAGTGTTTCCTGCCAATTACCACAAAGCACTTTACATTTCAATGTTTATTTATTATTCAAAAAACTTTGAAAATAAAAACACTTATATACGTCAATTAAAAATGTAACAACTACCTCTGTATGAATGATTTGGAATTACATCAGACTAACCGAAGGACTTATCTTTTGGAAAAAAAGTGTAATCTATATCTAGTTCTAGATAGTTCACATTAAAAATTGTTAATGAATATGTTGAGTGAAACAAACATATAAATCAATAAATCAAATGCATAATAATAAACAGATATATAATATATGAATATTAAAAATATGAATTTCAGCGAAGGAATCTCTATTCGACGAATTTATTGTAAGAATTATTTCAGTGAGGACATAAATAATGAATAAATAAGAACCTCTGTTTGTATCGATCGATTCACCTGGTTCTGTATAACAAGGTGAATTAGCTTTCAACTCGGTTATGAGAACATATTACTGTGTGGATGTAGAAAGGGGAAAGGAAAACCGTTAGGAGTTCTGTACTTGAATATTTAATTATTTCTAGTCACTCCATTATTTCAAATGTTGGTATTAAAATTGTTTATAGAATTCCTCCAAATCTAAAAAGACTTATTTGTATTCAACTCATTAAAACATCCGATGCTTTTTATGTTCAAAAAATGGTGTGGCATTAAACTATTATTGTTATTATTATACCAAAAGAGACTGATCAATTGCTGTCTGAAACATCAATGAGAAGATTCAGTGCATCAATAGAAACGAATTAAACTTCACCCAATTGCACAAGCCAGTGACTATCTGAACTGTGAAGCTAAGCGGATAGTGCGATGGTGTTTAAAGCAAATGGTCCTGAGTTCGTGTAGTGGAGTGAACGTTAACTCTGGGATCCAAGTATATTCAGATGACCACTCTTATACCAAACAAACGCTCGCCCTGGATTCCGCTGCTAGCCACCATCCAACTCTTTTATTATTATTATTATCATTATTATTATTTTGTTTTCGTTTCACTGATTTCACCATTGAAAATATCCCTCTTTCATGAGTTTATTCATAATTGTTTCTGGTATCATTTCACTTCATTTAACCCCTGTTATACATTTTAATTATCTTAATCTATTCATATTATAATTTATTGTTAACTTAATAATTTCACAGGATTTTTTATTTGCATACACATAATCTTTTATTGTTATAATTTACACTATGAAATATTTCTGTTACGTCATCATGTTCATTCATTGTTCATATGTCCTCACGAAATTGATTCCTACAATTTATATATAATGCACGATTATACAACTTAATAATAAACTCATTAAAAAATAAGATCCCTTGACATAACTTTACATAATAATACTGATGAAAATAATAATCATAATAATTGTTATTATTACAATGCTACATACTTCAATGGCAATTATTTCCTCCCGATAGGTTCTTTGAATAGCTTTAATTTGTGATTCCATTCGTTCGGCTAATAAATCAATATCATCTGTGCGTTTCTTTAATTCTCTTACATAATGATCATCTTTAGCTTTAATTTCCTGTATTGTTTTTATTTTCATTTAAGTCAAACATAAAACACAATTTTTTTTAATTTGGTGATATTAAACATATGATAGATGTTTTAATAATTGAATTCATGAATCAATCTAAAATAGACCACCACTAAAAACCAAGAAGCTCTGGACGGCCGTTTCATTCTAGTACGGGACTCGAACCCATAACTTTCTGTCTCGCGCTTGAACGTTTAACCTCTAAACCATTGAGACAGTATCTAACGGCGTTAATGTTCAGATTTTCAATGGTGGTCTAGCTTAGATCGACTCATGAATTCAACTATTAAAATTGCTACAATCTCCACAAACCCCTCATTCTGACATGATAAATGTACTAAAAAAAGAAAAAATTTAAGAAGTGAAAAAGTTAAGATTCTAAAAAATCCGAAATTTATTTTTTACGGTGTTAGAGTTTCTTTCAACTATCAAACAATTTGATTGAGAAAACCAACAACTCTATCCAAGAACCATGTATTATAGTATTTGACATAAGTCAGAAACATTTTGTTTTGAACTAACGCTATAAACTAACTGATCATATTGACAAAGCTGTGTTTGAAGATAAAACTTCGAAAATGGCCACTAGATTGCATTATAATCCATAGTCGATGAATTTAAATGACACTATTTGAGTTAAATATTGCATTTGTACTCATTCCTTTCTTCCATCTAAGTTGTATTTACTTACTTAATTACACCTGTTACCCCTCGTCGAGGAGCATAAAGCACCAGCATTCTCCATACAACTCTGTCCTGAGTAATCCTTTACACATGTTTCCAGATGCTATTCATCCTTTTCATGTCTGCTTCCAATTCCCAACACAGTGTGCTATTTGACCTTCTTTGGTATTTCCCTTTAGGATTCCAATTTACGGCTTGCCTAGTGATACAGTTTGGTGATTTCGTAATGTATGTCCTATCTACTCCCATCATCATTCCTTAATTTCCTCTTCAGCTCGAAGCTGGTTTGTTCTCTGTCATAGTAGGCTGTTGTTGATAGTATCCAGCCAACAGACATTGAATATCTTGCGTAGGCCTTATTTGCATTTAGTTTAGCATTATTCCACGGTTTTATTATGTTTTAAACTTCATTTTAACTCCAATCTCTTGAACTAATGACTAAATGGCATTGTCCGATAAATTCGTTTAAAATCTACACATACCGATGGAAACTGACCAATTGTATTCTTTAATACCAATAATAAGAAAATATCAACCCTTATAAATATATTCTGGATATGTTTAGTTTTCGATACCATAGGCATTACTTCTATAGAATATACGAGTCCCTTGATACATTTTTCATTCGATATCAGACTTATACAGGAATCCTAGCGTTAATTTCAACACCGGAGCTTGAAACTATTACATTTAGCTTCAAAGGCCAATACGCTGTTCACTGAGTCACCAGATCCAGACAGCTACTTACTTATGGAGTGAAAATGATATTTATATAACTATTAGTGAGGACTTGAATTATAAAGTTGTTGATCATCTTGACTGAATTGTAATCAATCTTTGCTGGCTGGAAATCCATCCATTCGATAAGGTGTGAAAAATAGCCACATTGGGGGTAATCCATACATGACACAATTCAGTCAAAATGATCAACAAACGCATAATTGAAATCATCTATAATAATATAGGTTTTAATATTTTAACTTATTCGGTTTTCATCTTGACGATGTTTTCATATCGTATAAATGCGAAATATTGCAGGTATAATTAGTTTATTTGTCCCGTACGCGACTTTTTACTAATTTTTAAAAAAGTTTACGACTTACTAAATTCAATTCATTAATCAGCTTATTTTTCTCAGCTATAAGTTCTTTGCACAACGTGTTTTGTTTGTCTAACATCTAAAAATATTTAGAAAAAGTATAGAAGTCATACAATAAGTTAGAGCGTAGTGTAACATTCCCATACTAGTTATTGCAATATGTATAGAGCGAAATTATTTATCTTACCTCTTTTGTTTCATCTAATAATTCACTTTCCTGAGCTTTTTCCCATTGTTCTGTTATCTACACAAATAAAATGAAAGAAATCCAAAAACTATTTGGTATATGGTGAAAATAAGTGAACTGATACAATCTAGTGATCAATGAAAAAAGACCAAAATCATTTATAGGTTACTTACTAATGTTACCCCTTGTGGAGCATAGGCAGTCAACAAGGATTCTTCAACTTACTCAGTCTTGGGTTGTTTTTTCCAATTATTGGCAAGTGCTATTCATTCTTTCGATGTTCGCCCCCAATTCTAGGCTCAAGGTGTATGTTCTTTTGTCTGCCCTTCTTTACTTACTTGGAATGCATCTGCGAACTGCTCTCCATGTACAACGTTTCAGTGAAGTCCATCTTAAGCATTTTGCATGATGGTGATGATCTTCTCAATAACATCACGTTGTTGAAGAAGGTTTCATAAGGTTCTCCTATCTGCACTGTCAAGTGCTTTCTCATAATCAAGGAAGTTGGTATACAATTATGAGTTCTACTCAACTGTTTGGTTAACAACAATCCGTAGTGTCGTGCACGATCGGCACACGATCAATCGTCACCAAGTCCAACCTACCTGCTGAATCTTTCATGAGATCCAGCAGTACAATGACGAAGTAAATCTTTTGTGATATTTGAGTTTCACATAAATTATTTAACTAGTATTTCGTGGACAAGTGGCTCTCCTTAGCATACTTCACTTATTGAATAAATATGGAAAGTTTTGAGAGTACTTGTGGCGATAAGTAAATCCCCGAAATAAATAGTTTTGTTAATTTCCAACACTTGATACTGACCGCATTAGTTTTACTGGACACATCTAGCTGATGGCGCTAGGTCACGCATCCTCACCAGATCACAAGTGGGTACGGCATGCTACGCACCTCTTGCAACTACTGGCCAGATCAGATCAAACTCTTCTCAAGATGTACACAAACTTCCAAATATATTATTAAACACTTTCATTCCTGGCTTATAATCTAACTGGATTAGAGTCGTTTGATTGTATAGGTGTTACAGACAAAAGCGTTGTCAAACTCTGAATATCTGTAGCATCTTTAGCGTGGTGATCTGATGCACCGAACGATAAACTTTGGATCTATTCCCTATTATAATATTGTATATCACATTTAACGTATGGTGGTATTTTTGTATTCTCCACTTTTCCGCCCATTTATATATTTCATTCTCATAATAAAAAAATGACTACTCAAACTGTTGTAGATTAAGACTCGTACTCCTGCAACTTTTCGACTCAAGTCATTCTGATCTTATAATATCAAAGCCTAATTCCGCTGCACAGAAGTTGACTTTCACAGACCCACGAGCACGATTCCTCGTAGTAGCAAAGGCATTACCGCGAGACTTTGGTGGATATGTTACACTTAGTATGTTCACTAGTGATGTTTCCGAACCTTACGTCATCTTAAACAAGGAGACCTAAACAATTGACAACGGTATGACCAGCTCTTCCACAAGACCAAATTACCATACGATTCAGCAACAGAAATGTTGGTACGCATGCGGGAGTCATTCATCAATGAGCTCTCAACGAAGGTCTCTTTGGACAACTCTGCTTCACCGATAGGTGCGAGTGGTGTTTGTCTCGTTCCAAAACAGCGCCGTAGATGACCTGGGTGCATCTCTCTATAGAATTGTGAAGACCACCAGAACCCTCAGCACTGAGTTGGCTCTGTCAAAGAATGGTTTCAAACGACATAAAACGACATTTAAGACCTCTGTGGTACTGTCACTCGTTTTCTTAATACTCGTCATGATATCAAACGTCCCAAAACTCCCTTATAAAACCTGCTGCGTAAAAAATCTATCTGCGGACCACAATAAACAGGTAAACCGGATTGGTATTGGCATCATAACAAGTATGGTAATCCTTCTAAAAATCGCAGGAAACCTTATTGTTTCCTACACCCTAAATTTTCTGCCACAGCAAACCTTCCCAAAAAATACCCCGCCGGCATGCGTTAGTGACAGCCATAGCCAGTGAAAATATCCATCTGCTACATATATCTGATGTGATGACTAAAGTTTGCCATTTCGTAGACACTGGCGCGGAAGTAAGCATTCTTCGCACGGATGCTAATGACCGTCTACAGGATCTGGTCTTCAACTTACAGGTGGTGCGAGACTGACAGGTCCTGGGTTCGAATCTCGCGAGGCGGGATTGTGGATGCGCACTGTTGAGGAGTCCCATACTAGAACGAAACGGCCGTCCAGTGCTTCCAGGTTTTTCATGGTGGTCTAGCTTCAAGTGACTCATGAACTCAACAAGTGAATTACTATAATACCCACAAAACCCCTTCTGATAATAAAAACGTTTTGCCACATACGTCAAAAGATATGCCCATCATAACGTGGGTTTACAAAAACCCATTTATTAGATTTTCGTTATGGCGGATGTTTCTATGTCAATCATTGATAAAGACTTGTTATAACACTATAATCTACTCATCGATCTAATCAAATGAAGGCTGGCGAGTGAAAATAATAAATTATCTGTTTAAGGAACTTCATTTTCTGGTTGCAGGATATTTCCAGCCACAGATAAACATAAATTAGATCTGTACTTCCATCAGACACTCAATGAGTACCCTTAACTATCGCATGTAACCACGACTACAGGGCCGCCTGTATATTTGAAAGGGCGCTGACTAGCTCCTGACAAGTTAAGATTGGTCAAAAACAAATTCTAGCATATGATAGACATAGGAAATGTCCGGTCATCAAACAACTCATGGGCATCTCCTTTGAACATGGTCTCTAGAAAACAAAGCAGCGACGACCAGAGTTGAACTGACGATTATCGGTGACTGAATACGAAAACTATTCCTGACTTTTACCCCTGACCACAGATCCACGACTTGACAGCTACTTTGAGCTGTACAACTGTTTTATCGAAAGTCGATCTGATTAAAAAGCATAACCGGCCGCAGGGGACGCTTCTAAAACATATATCATCACTTCCTTAGGACTCTAAGAATGTTCGCGCATGCTTTTCAGTTTAAGAAGTGTTTGCAAATCTCTTCAGAGAATCATTGATGACGTATCCAGGGTCTTCAAATTCATGCACGCGTAAACAATTCTGAACATGAAGCCAGTTGGACAAAAGAACTCACATGTTAAAACATTCAAATAATCCAAGGCAATTCTGGAAGGCTCAAAATTTAAGCATTTTTCGGTAAAGTAACCAAAATGCACCTCAAAATTTAAGCATTTTTCGGTAAAGTAACCAAAATGCACCTTAAGTTTAAACCTTTTAACGGCAAAGATCAAGATCTATCAAGCCACTAAACCAATAATAGTGATATATACAATCAACGAGTTATATTTCAACTGAGACAACGAACAACTTGGAAGTTAGAGTCGAAGTATTGTATTTTCATCCAGTTTATATCTCTATGGAACTGAGAAAACATATAGAAAAGCTTGGCAACACATTATCTCATTTAAAACATGATCTGTTATTGTCCACAACCGACTATTATATACTTCAAAATTCATCTAAGCATATATTCGTTGGTCTATGATGCCCATTTTTCCCGTTAAAGTATAAGTTACTCTACTTCTAGTGATCGAGAAAATCGGTACCTTTTAGAGATTATAATGATACACTACTAATGCAAAATAAAATTTGGGCTTTAAGGGATATCTTATATTTCATTTGGTTAAAAGTTAAGTTATACTTGTCCATAACCAGTGTTTTTGTGTGTTTATATACACTATTGTTTCTAGACAAAGTAATGAAGCTTAAAATACATCTACCCTCCTAAAAACACCTGTTATCAGTTAAGATTGGGTGAACGTAATCAGCTGGCTAAAAAATATAATAAGCACTATTTCTCAGCCTACCCATGAAAACCCATTTTGAAAGCTGAAGATAGCTATATCCATTCACATTACCTCGGGATTCATACAACTAAGACGGATAAGTTGGTTTTGTCCCTAAGTACACATACTCAAACATATTAAGCTACTTTTATTAAAGAGAACTGTCATACTTTATTGAATACTTCCAGGCTTCTCGTTGCTTCGTCTTCCAAAACACGAATTCTATTACGATTAAGTTCATGGTCTTCAGTTCTTTTAAAGTATTCACGTGCATCACATGCAACCCGAATGTTAGTTATAAAAGCGTCTCCATCCCGAATAAGTTTGGATATTCTTTTACTACTCAGCTCGATCTGAGATCTGCCCAACCCAACCTCTTTTTCGCTTGACTTAGTTTCATTAGAATGAACGTCGCCTCTAATTTCAGTGTGAAAAAAATTTAATATATATGGAGAACTTGCCTCAAGCGCTCCAACCTGTTTTGTATTCTTATGCGTCGAGCGGCAATCCTTTGTTCTATATCATCTGAATCTACTGAGGGTCCAACATCTTTTATTTCTTTCTCTTTGAAGTAAATTTTTTTATTTTGTTCATTCAAGGTCATTCTTTTGAAAAAGCTCAGAAACAGTTTCTATGATTACAGGAAATGTCCAATATATAGTCAGTAGACAACATGTTTGCAACGAGTTTGTATAAATCACTTGATATTTTATACCGACTTTCTGTTTCGTTTGGTAATGTGCAATGAACAGTAGTCTAATCACTCGACTACACTACTTTCAGTCATTTCGATAGATATTTTTGGGTTTGTACATTTAGTAGTATGAGTGTATCTAAACGAACATTATAGAGTGTAAAACTTGATGACGTGCAATTACTGCTACAGCAAAGAGCATAAGCTGTTTTACTATGTCGTTTCACATATGTGGTGGACTTTCGATTAAGATTATCGTTGAAAAATTAGGATCGTCAATGATTATGACGAATGAACAGTTAGTGAGCTTCGGGAACAAGACTGCTACCATCGAACATAATACTCCCAACTCACGTCAATGATACAGTCGCTAATGTCTTCAGACATGGGGTAGTTGCGACGTGCTAATACCATCTTGCTAAAGATTCTCTGAAAGGGGCGTGGCGAAAATTATATATTACAGTATTCAATGTCTCTTCTTTCCTACCCAGTTGGCAAGCCCATAGGAATTGGCCGTTTATTACTTCTTCCGAGAATAGTCGAGTTAAAGATTCTACGTAAACCCTATCAATTAGGATCTCGTCGAGTGACCCGCTGCCATGGTAAATCCGGTAATCCTATTAGGTTTTTGAGAAAACTAACATATGTCAACTTGGCTTAAAACCACAAGGAAGAAGTGGGTTCTGTGAACCGGTTCAGGAAATGTGAACTTTAGGGTGAACAACTGTAATGTATGATTTAGAGTTCAATGTCATGGGGTTTATCTTGGACAGTAGTCCGCAAAATCAAGACTGCGTGAGCAAAAAAACCGTTTGTATAAGTAAGTACATGTTGGTTCGGGTCAATCGCAATGTCAGTAACCGTAAACTTTATCTAAACGTCAAGTAAGAAGCACTTTCTTTTTGAACATTCATGAAACGAGAAGGAAAGCATTTTAGTGGCAAACTATTCGTCTGTTCGATAGTTTTTGTAACACGGAACAACTATCATGAAGACGATCATTCAAAATGAATGTGTGTTAATTGATATCCATTGATAAGTTGTGGCATAGTTTTGCATATATATGCGCGGCACTTTTTTAATTCTGTGTTGATTTTGGATAGAAATATCAGACCTTCATGAATTTTAGAAAAAATATAGACCAAGGTAAATTTCGGGTTTTTTATCGTATTTTTTTTAGTTTTACCAAATTCTTTCAATGAAACTGACCCAAAATCTACCAAAAATTGACCATTTTCGTCTAAAAGTTGGGACACCAGGTCCTTTTACAAATTCCTAAAAGTAGAATTTAACAATGTTCTCATTTTTGCTTAATATATTGTGGCTTATATTTGTAGTACTTCGTCTGTCTTTTAAAGTATAAAACAAGCTTTATATAAGTCTCATCAATATCTGACATTCACTTTACATGTAATATAGTCCAACATCACAGAAAAAGGGAGGATGTTTAGTGGCCCGTGATCTAACTCCAATTTGATCGTATGAATGTTTGCTATCACCTATCCTCGTATATAATCATTGACTTAAATCGCGTTAGTTAATAACGGAATTAAATAAGTCAAATAACGAGAATGGAGTTTTGAATGCATATATTTTGTATAATTGTTGATTAGAGAAACAAACGGAGGAACGATGCGAAGATGAGAAAGCGAAGCTAAATTGGCGCGCGGTGGAAATGGCTGGTAAGCCAACTCCCTGTTAACCAAGCGTTAATCAATATCTATAAGCACACAAAAATAAATTACAGACATGTGATGAGTAACGGGATAAGAAGTGTACATTCACCTACGCACTCATATAAAGACGGTCAAGATATTGATAAGCGAATAATTAACAAGGTCAGAATGTGACTCAAATAGAATGAATAGAATGGGCTGTCCGAAAGTTGGAATAAAAAGGCATTTGGGCTTGACATAATGACAGACACTACAGATGGCATTACTGACCAGAAAACATGAGGGTTGTGGGATAAGTTCAATTTACACAAGTTTGTGGAGCAATACATTTTGTTAAATTAAGGCCTCTTATGGTATGGTGGGATGTAACTATCCAATGGTATTGGCGCTAATTTATTATGATAAAAAGCTATTTGGCTCATACTTTTAGCCCTGAGTGGGTTTACCGAGAAATCTTAATAAAAGCAAGACTAAACAACTACACTGAAATGAAGTCTACTCATAATCCTACAAAATCTTTAACAATAGAAAGAAGCTTTGACGATAAAAGAAGAGAAAGCCATTTATGTATCCATATATTGTGTTTTCAATGTCACATTATATTACAAAACTGCATACAATCCTCAACTTTTAACTGATTTTTCAATCACCTCCGTAACGACCGAACTACCAGTATTCGGTTTGAACGCGAGACTGACGAACTAAAAAGTATTCGAATAGGTCAGACTACGATCATCTGTATAGCTCGTCAAGCGTTTTTGAGACACTCGTATTAAATTATATCAAAACACAAACTCTGCACTCAATTTATACGGTTCTAATTTAAGAAATAGAACAAATTATATAAAAAACACAAAATACCTCAAACGGTAAAGCCTGTGCCATACAGTCAGAAGTTTCTCTAACGCAAAGTAGTGCGCTAAACAACAAAAGAAACAGTCAATACCAAAGGATTTGATACCTCAAAATCAACAAATATATTCCCAACAAACGGGATCAAATATCTACCTGCAGGGATTTCAGAAATCCTCCCAAGCAGGCAGTCAAAAGGTTAACAGTCACACATTAAATCACGCCGTGACCTTGAGCTTAGTCAAATAAGACCTCACTGTCAATAGTCCGGCAACATGCAATAAAAATTAGGTAACAAAAAGATAAGTTTTTCATCAAAATCACATAATAAAAGCTCAAACGAGATCTGTACAAAGGTTAAAATATATGACAGGGATAGGAGACCAATAAATGAAAATACCGCCCAACAAAAAGGACTATGGAGGGATTTTCACCGTTCTCTTTCCGTTACACACAGAGTTGGAGACCCATACACAGTATGTCAGATGGAATATTATTACAGGATGATCTCAGCTCATTGTTCAAATGGATGGACGAATGGTCACTAGAAGTGAATCCTAATAAGAGTTTGGTGATGCAATTAAATAACCCTGATGATTCGTGTCATTACACAATATGTGGATTCGTATTAACCTAAAGTAAGAAACTATAAAGATTTGGAAGTCATAATAAGCAGCGATCTCAAAACTACTAGTAACTGTAAGGCTGCTGCTGCAAACGGCTATAGGCTATCGTAGGCTATTCGTAGGTCTTTTCAGTATTTAGATGAGGAAATGTTTAAATTATTATACCCCGACATTCGTGAGACTACATTTGGAATATGGGATTCAAGCGGATGTTGGAACGAGTCCAACGACGAGGGACTAAAATAGGAAAAGGTCTCTCTGCAACATCTTATGAAGACAGACTGAGATACGACAACTTATTTCAGTTATCTTACCGTAGAATACGGGGTGATCTAACATCGGCTTATCGTATACTGAACGATGACCTTGATACTGATATGTCTTGTCTTTATCTTCTGTCTAGAACTCACTATTCGAGAGAACATTCGAAGAATGTTCAAAAAACAAGATCAAATCATCTACGTCTGAAGTCTCTTTTCTCTCACCGAGTAATGAATTACCGGAATTTCTTACCAGAACACATAATACGAGCACTTTCTGTTGATATATTTGAAACGAGATTGGACCTCCACAGTGTTACAAACTGCAACGATTAATATAGGCCGATAGACCTCCTATTCTTGTTACTGAAGACTGGATGATAATTATCAATCTCAATTAAAACACAACTCCTCTAGACAAAGAACCAGACCAAAATACAGAGTCAATAAACTACCTGCCCACTGTGAACTTCGATAAAGACGATGTACTTAAGGCTGTTAGCACCTTAAAATGGAAAAGTCAACAGGACCAGATGAACTACACCACAAAATCTTGAGACACTGCGCAATATGTCGCGGCTCCACAGACTGTGATATTCAATATATCACTTGATCAAGGTATGTTACCTATGGACTGGAAGGACCCAATAGTCACTCCAATACATAAAACACGATCAAGGCAACTTCCATCGAACTACAGACCTGTAAGCCTCACCAGTGTTGTAGTTAAAATGTTGGAAAGAATAGTCAAACGGACCATAATGATATTCATGGAAACCACTAACTTGTTAAGCAGAGAACAACATGGTTCTAGAAATGGTTTATCTTGTACAAGAAACCTCCTTATAGCAAGAGAATTTTGGATAAGGGCACTAGACAACGGAAACTCAGTGGTTGTTGTCTACACAGACTTCATCAAGGCTTTTGACAAGGTGTCAACTAACAGACTGCTATTGAAGTTAGGAAACTTTCGTATTGCCGGACCTCTCTTAAAATGAATTAAACATTTCTCAGTAGGTTGTAGACAGAAAGTAAGAATAAATTCCAAGTGCTCCATCTGTAGACCAGTATTTAGTGGAGTACCTCAAGGGTCCGTCCTAGGTCCTTTACTTTTTATACTGTATGTAAATGATCTTCCAAATATAAAATAGTTCACAATGGTATTATACGCTGACGATGTAAAAATCTAGCGAGTAATAACCTGATAGGCAGACACATGTACACTTCAGGAAGACTTAAATAATATGATGAACTGGTCTAAAGCGTGGCTGATGTTTATCAACGCAGGAAAGTGTGTCTACATGCCCTTTGTGGATACAAAGCTTAACAGATACAACATACGGGAAGTGCCAGCACCAGTGTCATAAGGATCTTGGGGTGGCAGTGAGTCATGATCTTAAGACGACGACCCATTGCCAGGAGGTCGCAGCTAAAGGGTTCAGAACACTATGGGCTTTAAAATGGACATTCACTAAGTCAGATACTACCATGTTCACAACAGTATACAAAAACTTGGTGAGAGCTAAGCTTGAGAACTGCGTTCAGGCTGCAAGCCCCTGTCTAAAAGGTGAAACGTATATTTTGAAAAAGTACAGAGGGAAGCTACCCATGCAATTCCAGAACTCCGGGGTTTACCATACAAAGAACGGCTTCAAAAGCTAGACCTCTTTACTCTGTCCTATCGCAGTCTAAGGGGAGATCATATTTTGATGTACAGAATACAAAGAAGTGATTTTGGACCCAATTTATTCTCTCTTTTTCTTTCCACTAGATCGGAACATCTCAGAAGACAAAGCAGGCGTATAGAAAAGCCAACAACGAACAAAATACCTGTGGCACACAGGTTTTCACACCGAGTCATCAATACTTGGAACCTTCTGCCCGAAGACTGGACACTCACAGAAACATACTAAAAAAGGAATAACATGGGATATAGGCCTCCTGTCCTTACTGCACAAATCTCAATCTCCACAACATTACACTGATAAGCTTCTCCTATTTCCGCCCCGACTTGCTGCTATAAATAGCGCTTACAGGAAAAAACTTTTTTCTAGCAATAACTATAGGAATTCAGTTTACTAATTTCATCGGAGTGCAGTTGTTTTATTAAATCAGTTCAGCTCTTCAAAAGGCCAACCTTGAAGCGTTCAACCTATTCCCGACTGCGTCGGTTTACCGTCCTGTCAAGAAAGGTGACAAAATATTTTCTCTACATTGTTATGTCGCTTGACAATGATAATGTTCACGTTGTGAAAACTGATGCTGCTTTGGATCCATCGTAAGTTCTTTTGACGATTTCTCACCACGGTCCAAAAATTTGGTAAATGTCCATTTTAAAGCCCATAGTGTTCTGAACCCTTTAGCTGCGACCTCCTGGCAATGGGTCGTCGTCTTAAGATCATGACTCACTGCCACCCCAAGATCCTTATGACACTGGTGCTGGCACTTCCCGTATGTTGTATCTGTTAAGCTTTGTATCCACAAAGGGCATGTAGACACACTTTCCTGCGTTGATAAACATCAGCCACGCTTTAGACCAGTTCATCATATTATTTAAGTCTTCCTGAAGTGTACATGTGTCTGCCTATCAGGTTATTACTCGCTAGATTTTTACATCGTCAGCGTATAATACCATTGTGAACTATTTTATATTTGGAAGATCATTTACATACAGTATAAAAAGTAAAGGACCTAGGACGGACCCTTGAGGTACTCCACTAAATACTGGTCTACAGATGGAGCACTTGGAATTTATTCTTACTTTCTGTCTACAACCTACTGAGAAATGTTTAATTCATTTTAAGAGAGGTCCGGCAATACGAAAGTTTCCTAACTTCAATAGCAGTCTGTTAGTTGACACCTTGTCAAAAGCCTTGATGAAGTCTGTGTAGACAACAACCACTGAGTTTCCGTTGTCTAGTGCCCTTATCCAAAATTCTCTTGCTATAAGGAGGTTTCTTGTACAAGATAAACCATTTCTAGAACCATGTTGTTCTCTGCTTAACAAGTTAGTGGTTTCCATGAATATCATTATGGTCCGTTTGACTATTCTTTCCAATATTTTAACTACAACACTGGTGAGGCTTACAGGTCTGTAGTTCGATGGAAGTTGCCTTGATCGTGTTTTATGTATTGGAGTGACTATTGGGTCCTTCCAGTCCATAGGTAACATACCTTGATCAAGTGATATATTGAATATCACAGTCTGTGGAGCCGCGACATATTGCGCAGTGTCTCAAGATTTTGTGGTGTAGTTCATCTGGTCCTGTTGACTTTTCCATTTTAAGGTGCTAACAGCCTTAAGTACATCGTCTTTATCGAAGTTCACAGTGGGCAGGTAGTTTATTGACTCTGTATTTTGGTCTGGTTCTTTGTCTAGAGGAGTTGTGTTTTAATTGAGATTGATAATTATCATCCAGTCTTCAGTAACAAGAATAGGAGGTCTATCGGCCTATATTAATCGTTGCAGTTTGTAACACTGTGGAGGTCCAATCTCGTTTCAAATATATCAACAGAAAGTGCTCGTATTATGTGTTCTGGTAAGAAATTCCGGTAATTCATTACTCGGTGAGAGAAAAGAGACTTCAGACGTAGATGATTTGATCTTGTTTTTTGAACATTCTTCGAATGTTCTCTCGAATAGTGAGTTCTAGACAGAAGATAAAGACAAGACATATCAGTATCAAGGTCATCGTTCAGTATACGATAAGCCGATGTTAGATCACCCCGTATTCTACGGTAAGATAACTGAAATAAGTTGTCGTATCTCAGTCTGTCTTCATAAGATGTTGCAGAGAGACCTTTTCCTATTTTAGTCCCTCGTCGTTGGACTCGTTCCAACATCCGCTTGAATCCCATATTCCAAATGTAGTCTCACGAATGTCGGGGTATAATAATTTAAACATTTCCTCATCTAAATACTGAAAAGACCTACGAATAGCCTACGATAGCCTATAGCCGTTTGCAGCAGCAGCCTTACAGTTACTAGTAGTTTTGAGATCGCTGCTTATTATGACTTCCAAATCTTTATAGTTTCTTACTTTAGGTTAATACGAATCCACATATTGTGTAATGACACGAATCATCAGGGTTATTTAATTGCATCACCAAACTCTTATTAGGATTCACTTCTAGTGACCATTCGTCCATCCATTTGAACAATGAGCTGAGATCATCCTGTAATAATATTCCATCTGACATACTGTGTATGGGTCTCCAACTATGGATAACGTCAAGTGATTGTGTTAGCCTAATACAGCAGAAGTATAAAGCAAGTCTACAATTGAATGAATTATCATTGGCGGAAAAACACACTACACGAACAAAAAGTTTGTTAACGTTGGAACCACTTCATAATGCAAAAGTTAATGGAGTAAATTATAGATTATGTTACCAGTTATCTCATGTGATATCGAAAGTTTGTATTTGAAATAACTGTCAGAATAAAGTATCTAATATTTTAAATCGGAACTTTTACAGTTTTTGAGAGTTAAAGAGATATCATCCGAGTTTTACATGATTAATGTATTTATTAGCGATTCATACTGACGTTCCTATTAAGAAAATATGTTATACTCCAGATACCTCAGAGACTAACATTGTAGTTTTGACAGATGGGATGAGACAGTCGACTGCAACAACCAAGTGAAAACTTAAAAATATCTGACGTGTCTCCATATCGGGAGAGTTTGACAACTAATCCTTACGAATGCTATTTTTTAAGTACCTAAATGAACCAACGTGATTTTAGTCGTTAAATCTTAATTTGAGAACAAAAGATCTAGTTAGTATTGAATATATAGCATCAATAAATCGTTGGATGGACAGTTCCACATACTATAAACTCGATATAGTTGATCACTTATAGTGTCAGTTACTATGTTAACCCCACACCTTATTCTATCTTTCAGACAGCCCATTCTCTTCATTCTACTTGAGTCGTATTTTGACCTTGTTGATTATTCGCTTATCAATATTGACTGTTTTCATATGAACGCGTAGGTGTGTGTACATTTTTTATCCTATTCATCACATGTCTGTAGCTTATTTTTGTGTGCCTATAATTATTGATTAACGTTTGGTTAAATGGGAGTTGGCTCATACGCCTTCTCCACCGCGCGTCATTTTTGCTTCGCTTTCTTCTCTTCGCATCGTTTCTCTTTTCGTTTGTCTGGATCAACGGTTATACAAAAAAAGGGCCCTACACACTCACATTTGTGAAGCATTTTCCAAAAACAGTGAAAGTGAAGAAATACTGATGTAGGATGCATGGTATTAGAGAAGTAATTAGGTTACTAGGATTAAGTAATGGACATTTTAGAAATATGACACACCTAAAGAATACCAGTTAAGTTAGCGATATTTCCGAAGCCTTAGGAAAACAAAATAAAATACTGCAATGTAATCGTTGGTCGATTTTTTTGAATATAGGGACAACTTGTGGGTTCTTGTAAAAGTCTCGATAGTAAAAGTTGGTGGTTAGTGTAACCCAGAAACTAAGCGAATATTCAAATACTAAGCTTTGAGTCATATTTTTATTAGGGTTTGCAATTTTACTCGGCTGCTGAAACCAAAATAAGTCAGTGGAGTGCCGACCTACAACTTGGTGATTACGAGCTACTGTTTCTGTATAGCCATCCCAATAATCTTTACCATTGGTTTAACAACTACATTGGTTAGAATAGCGGGTCGATAGTTACTAAGTCTCTACTCCCCACCTTATAAATCGAACTGAAAATTACGCCTCCCCAGTTTCTTCGGAGTTTAGATTGTCTCAAAGACGCGCCGAATAGTATTACCAGGGGTACAGCAATTATATCCGTCAAGGCTTTTATAATCTTAGAATGGGTATCGTCGGGACCAAGAAGTTTATCTGGTTTCGGACGTTAAAGTAATAATAAGACAGCTCCTTTCGCAACAACCACAGGATCCATCAACAAGCCGCCATCATTACAATTAATTGTTAGTCCTTCGCTATCGCTGATAGAAAAATTTATTAGAATATCGACGGATTTTCTCACACCAACAGTGGTAGGATCCTATTAGCCCTCTGAGTGCGCCTCCTTATATATGAGGACACTTTTTTTCGGAATACTTTCACAATCCTTAACCAATTGTTTTCCACGTGAAAGTCTGGGCTTACTTGTCGACGCTCCGCACGTGTTTCTAACGAATCTGTACTGTTCCGAGACTATAGAGATGAAAATACTCAAGTGCTCTTTACCATATCATACTTGAGCAGTAAAATATACAAAGCCCTTAGGATTTGGGCTTCGAGCATCTTTTGATTACGGTGGGTTTTAAGCAAGTACGATCCTTGTGTAACCACAATTTACACTTATCACATTGCATTACTGTCTTTGCAGGAAAGAAACACTTTGGCTGTCCGCATTCATAAGTACAGCTTACCATTGTAAACGAACTTAAAAGGGGAAAACCCGACAAAAATGCACAAGATAGACACTAAAATTGGAATCAAATAGTGTCACGAAACGGACTCGTGGAAAATTCCAAACCCTGACCGAAGTGATCCACTTTAAAGTAAACCAAATATGCTTTGGATGCAACGAAAACACAAAAGTAAAGTTAATTTACAACAAGTAGGAAATTACTGCTCTTTCTTAAAATTCACAAGAATGAAAAAAGTGGGGACTGAAATGGACTCAGCTAAGTGTCTCAAAAATCTGATATGACGCAAAGGATTTTTCACAGAAGCACTAATGTGACTTATAGATAACTCTGACTCTAAGGGCATCCTTTAGGGAAAGCGATGTGGTAAACTTTGGGGAAATAGCACAAAACTACCAAAATTTCCCCAAGTTTGAAAGTCTCCAAAATTTTGGAAAATTCTCAAAATGTTTGAGGAATTCTTTGGTTTTCTCCAATAATTCCACGGAATCTTACAACACTTCAGGGAAAACCCCAAAATTTGCACAAGATAGTAAGATTTGGATGTTCTCCAATTGTTTTCAAGGATAAATAAATTTTGTGACGACCACCCGATGAATTTTGTTTATTGATTAACAGGATTCGGCGAACATTTATTAACCTTAAGGACTCAGTCTTCTATTGCTAGCAGATAAAGGATGCCCTTAGAGTCAGAGTTATCTATAAGTCACATTAGTGCTTCTGTGAAAAATCCTTTGCGTCATATCAGATTTTTGAGACACTTAGCTGAGTCCATTTCAGTCCCCACTTTTTTCATTCTTGTGAATTTTAAGAAAGAGCAGTAATTTCCTACTTGTTGTAAATTAACTTTACTTTTGTGTTTTCGTTGCATCCAAAGCATATTTGGTTTACTTTAAAGTGGATCACTTCGGTCAGGGTTTGGAATTTTCCACGAGTCCGTTTCGTGACACTATTTGATTCCAATTTTAGTGTCTATCTTGTGCATTTTTGTCGGGTTTTCCCCTTTTAAGTTCGTTTACAATGGTAAGCTGTACTTATGAATGCGGACAGCCAAAGTGTTTCTTTCCTGCAAAGACAGTAATGCAATGTGATAAGTGTAAATTGTGGTTACACAAGGATCGTACTTGCTTAAAACCCACCGTAATCAAAAGATGCTCGAAGCCCAAATCCTAAGGGCTTTGTATATTTTACTGCTCAAGTATGATATGGTAAAGAGCACTTGAGTATTTTCATCTCTATAGTCTCGGAACAGTACAGATTCGTTAGAAACACGTGCGGAGCGTCGACAAGTAAGCCCAGACTTTCACGTGGAAAACAATTGGTTAAGGATTGTGAAAGTATTCCGAAAAAAAGTGTCCTCATATATAAGGAGGCGCACTCAGAGGGCTAATAGGATCCTACCACTGTTGGTGTGAGAAAATCCGTCGATATTCTAATAAATTTTTCTATCAGCGATAGCGAAGGACTAACAATTAATTGTAATGATGGCGGCTTGTTGATGGATCCTGTGGTTGTTGCGAAAGGAGCTGTCTTATTATTACTTTAACGTCCGAAACCAGATAAACTTCTTGGTCCCGACGATACCCATTCTAAGATTATAAAAGCCTTGACGGATATAATTGCTGTACCCCTGGTAATACTATTCGGCGCGTCTTTGAGACAATCTAAACTCCGAAGAAACTGGGGAGGCGTAATTTTCAGTTCGATTTATAAGGTGGGGAGTAGAGACTTAGTAACTATCGACCCGCTATTCTAACCAATGTAGTTGTTAAACCAATGGTAAAGATTATTGGGATGGCTATACAGAAACAGTAGCTCGTAATCACCAAGTTGTAGGTCGGCACTCCACTGACTTATTTTGGTTTCAGCAGCCGAGTAAAATTGCAAACCCTAATAAAAATATGACTCAAAGCTTAGTATTTGAATATTCGCTTAGTTTCTGGGTTACACTAACCACCAACTTTTACTATCGAGACTTTTACAAGAACCCACAAGTTGTCCCTATATTCAAAAAAATCGACCAACGATTACATTGCAGTATTTTATTTTGTTTTCCTAAGGCTTCGGAAATATCGCTAACTTAACTGGTATTCTTTAGGTGTGTCATATTTCTAAAATGTCCATTACTTAATCCTAGTAACCTAATTACTTCTCTAATACCATGCATCCTACATCAGTATTTCTTCACTTTCACTGTTTTTGGAAAATGCTTCACAAATGTGAGTGTGTAGGGCCCTTTTTTTGTATAACCGTTGATCCAGACAAACGAAAAGAGAAACGATGCGAAGAGAAGAAAGCGAAGCAAAAATGACGCGCGGTGGAGAAGGCGTATGAGCCAACTCCCATTTAACCAAACGTTAATCAATAATTATAGGCACACAAAAATAAGCTACAGACATGTGATGAATAGGATAAAAAATGTACACACACCTACGCGTTCATATGAAAACAGTCAATATTGATAAGCGAATAATCAACAAGGTCAAAATACGACTCAAGTAGAATGAAGAGAATGGGCTGTCTGAAAGATAGAATAAGGTGTGGGGTTAACATAGTAACTGACACTATAAGTGATCAACTATATCGAGTTTATAGTATGTGGAACTGTCCATCCAACGATTTATTGATGCTATATATTCAATACTAACTAGATCTTTTGTTCTCAAATTAAGATTTAACGACTAAAATCACGTTGGTTCATTTAGGTACTTAAAAAATAGCATTCGTAAGGATTAGTTGTCAAACTCTCCCGATATGGAGACACGTCAGATATTTTTAAGTTTTCACTTGGTTGTTGCAGTCGACTGTCTCATCCCATCTGTCAAAACTACAATGTTAGTCTCTGAGGTATCTGGAGTATAACATATTTTCTTAATAGGAACGTCAGTATGAATCGCTAATAAATACATTAATCATGTAAAACTCGGATGATATCTCTTTAACTCTCAAAAACTGTAAAAGTTCCGATTTAAAATATTAGATACTTTATTCTGACAGTTATTTCAAATACAAACTTTCGATATCACATGAGATAACTGGTAACATAATCTATAATTTACTCCATTAACTTTTGCATTATGAAGTGGTTCCAACGTTAACAAACTTTTTGTTCGTGTAGTGTGTTTTTCCGCCAATGATAATTCATTCAATTGTAGACTTGCTTTATACTTCTGTTGTATTAGGCTAACACAATCACTTGACGTTATCCTTAAATAACTGATGAGCAGTTCCCAGTTTTAAAAAGCTACTTAAATTGTCTCGGATAGATTGCTTAGTTATTGTTTTATTTATTTATTTATTTATTTTAACACATAAGTATAGGTACAGGGAGGCACCAAATACATATGCGCCACACAAATCTCAATTGATTTGTGTGAGGGCTGTGATACTGCCCGGGTGCCCAAACCGAAGCAGGTGGTTTTCTTAGGGGGCCACACCCCGAGCCTTCGACCTGAACGTCTGACCCACAAGGCAGTGGAGCATCGTGAGGAGATGCAGTCCCATGGTAGCCGGTGACCAACGATTGGTTTATACGCCATTTGTTCCCGCAGGATACTGGAGCCCATGTGCACCATTGGTTTGGGATCCGGTTATAGCGCCGGACATTCGCTTTTCGTCCTCTCATTTTTGTAAACAACACCCCCGCCACGAGAAGGCAGTGAGTAGGACTTCCCTGGCAGAGGCTATATACGCATGGCCAAGTGAGAGCATTTCGAGAGGGAGAGCGGTCTCTCCCCACTTTCGGCCGTACCAGGGCATTTGGGGGCACGGTTTTACTCTTGTGATTTGTTGCATGGTAAGAACCGTCGACCAAGAATCGAAGTTATTGTTTTAAGTGATACATAAGTCAATAAAAATAATTCGATAGTAAACTAATTAAACTCTTTAGTGTAAATACGTAGTAACTTACTGGTTCTTCGATAAAAAATATAATGTACCTCAGTATATCAGTAGTTTGATCGGATACCTCGACACTTTCACATACCAATAATCATGTTTTACTATGATAGAATTGTTCTTATAAGTTATATACAGACGAGTGATATTCTGTTGATCTAACAGATACTCATAGCATATATCTTTCACTTACCAGATCTGATCAGTCCTTATCGGGTCGAAGTCGAAGTCACAGCACTGGTAGCGTTTCAAGGCCATTTGGCGTAGTCTGTGACCAAGAGTCAAATCCTACTCATTGTCGTGTCGCAGCCAAACCATGCCTAGTCCTCAGGTCATCCAGTTCAACTGGCCCTAGACCTACATCTACTAGTAATTTAAAATCCATCGATCCTGGATCATTGCAACGAACACTTTGTGAGGTTTCTTCATATTATGAACCCAATGTGGCATGTACCAGTGACGCAATTACAAGTGGTGTCAATAAAAATACCTCTTTTAAATCAAAGCCAAGTAGTTTCTCTTCTCCACCATCTATTGCTCAGGCATCCTCTTCAACATCATTGGGAGCAAGGCGTAGGCACTCACATATAGAATTCTTGGATAAGCACGGAAGTCAATCTCGCAGCCCACCTCCTTCAGTTGATGCTATCAAAGCTATAAACAGTGTAAGTCCGTTTGTTAAAGTTTATGTTTCAAGAATTATTTTCGCTGTTTATTTTCACTAATTTTGCAGAATGAGCTGTTCCAGATAAAAATAATTAAAAGTAAAAAGTCGCGATTGCTTTCAGTTCTGTTTGTTATTCTCTTTGAATAACTTGTAGTGTCTGGTATTAGCTTTTGAACGGACAAGTTTATTCATTCTTTTCAGGCCATATTTTGACCTCGTCAATTCAGTTTATTAACCCTGACGTTTTATATGATCGTATGTGTGTTAATTGCTTATCCTATTCGTTATGTGTCTGTAATTTATTTTTTTGTCTGGATAAAAATACGAGTTGGCTAACTCGCCTTCTCCGCTGCGCGTTATTTTGTCTCTCTTCGTTTCCCTGATTATCTGTTCAGATCAATGAGTACGAAATATACGTATTCAAACTTCGTTCTCGTATTTGACTTATTTTATTCCGTTATTCTCTGACGCGAATTAAGTTGATAAAAATGGCATGTATATTTCGATAACAATCGGCAAATGATGTAATTGGAGTCAAATACAGGGCAACTAATTTAACTAATATAACTTTCATATAATCAAATAGATTTGATGATGATGGAATTACGTACAAATTAGTTGTTTACTTGAATTTTGTCGTTCCTGAATAATACCACTTCAGAGAAGGATTTAATAAAACGAATTGCCGATGGACGGATATAAATAGTGTAAAAACAAGTGAGTGGTTCATTCATGACTCAGTCGCTTAGTACATAATACGACGTTTGAAGCAATGGGTACTAGGTTCGGGTTTCAGTGCAAATATCATGATTGCGAGGTGTTCACACCCAGCTAAAGAGTCCTGAATTGAATAAAACGCACATCCAGGATTTCACTGTTGGCAACTGAACACCGAAGTAGCTGTGTATCGGTTCAAATTATGACTATTACTATTTGTGTGATGATCAACATGAACCACAACAATTAAAGTAATCATACCGATAATAGTCCATAAACCAGGAGGAAATACGTTGACAAAATAACATATACAAAAGTGGTTAATTTTGTGATATAATTGGTTCCAGCACAACAAATTATCTTTCTGACTTCTTAATGTGATGGAATTCGGAATGCCATCAGTTTTGATTTGCATTTTGAAATTATTCTTTGTATTGTTATCCAGCTTTTTTTAACTTTTTTTATAGAATATAAATAATCTAATGAATACATGTAATGGTAATAATGATGTCAACGGTTTGTCAAACACTGATGATATTATAAGTCCATCAAATTCTCCTGCACCACCTTTAGCTCAAGCTGTTGTCGCTGCTCTAAGACAACATCATAGTTTGTTAAGATCAACAACAAATACATCGACAGCTTCTTCATCGCATTTCTCACCTGGTTACTTATCTGATGAGAATCCTGATGATGTTGATGATGATGAGGTAATGGATGAGGAAGTGGAGGCAGATCAAGTTGACAAAGATAATAATAATATAGATGAAGAATATGGTGGTAAAGATTTTCATGTTCATGATCAAGATTGTACAATTAATTTATTGTCTGATGAATGTCATCATCAACAATCGATTGAATTAGATGGTGAAAGTGGATATGGTGCATCATGTTCATCGTCATCAGTTAAACTTAATCATAGTTCTGAGAATAAACGTGATAAAAAACGTCGACGTCATCAATTTCAATATAGAACAACTAGTATTGAAACCGATACAACAGATCATTTGTCAATTAGTAATCAACCAAATGATAAACTATGTGAAGTAAAAAATTCAATAAATGTATCACCACATCTTTCTGGAGTTATTTCAGATTGGACTAAACCTAAATCAGATATTCGAAATGATAGTACACGTCATAAACGAAATCGTGTCCGAATTTTAGACAATTCTATTGCTGTTTCAACAACAACGCAAAATTTACAGAGGCAAATTTCTGTTAATCGTCCATTCACATCTGTTTTATCGCATTATAATATGAACGATTATGAGATATTATGTCATCCATTTAGTCCAATTCCTTTGGATTTATCACAATCACATAGTAATCGAAGCTCATTCTGTAGTAATAGTAATGATAATCGTCATTATTGTTGTACACAACACACTACTCACGGTGGTACTGATGTCAAATGTATGTATTCATTAATGGATATCCCTAATGATTTAATTGGTATAAATTGGATTCCATTTGATCCTAGTGTAAAAGAAATAAATGAACAAAATGGTTTACTTAATACAGGTCAAACAAACTACTCAGTAAATTGTAATTTAACAATTGGATCGTCATTACCATCATTATCTTCATCAGAAACGGTACCATTGACTATGCCAGTTAATATACAGTCTACAAATTATCAATCATCTGTTAAGGATTATCCAAGCATTGAAATTACAGAAACAAATCCAATTGATATCATGAATAACGATGATGAAAATAATAACAATAATAATAATAATCTTATAAGTGATCAAAATATAGAATCTATCGTTTTAGATAATCCTAATACTACTGTGACAACAACGAATTCAATGAGAAATACAATGCATTTAGTAAATAACTCTTTAACAAATACATCATGTACTCGATTGAACTCAATCATCCCTACTACATCCAACATTCCGTGTACATTCACATATCGTAATCATGATCATAATAGTCATAATAATCATAACTGGACTACAGCATGTCTACCGTCACAGTTAGAACGAATACAGTTAAGTAGACGGTCATCGACTATCTGTAGTTCTCAGTCGCTAGCATCGACATTAACAACAACAGCAAATAATACCTGTCACCATAGATGTTCTTCACTATCAGGTCACTTGTGTAGTCATGCTATTGGTGGCAGTAGTGGAAACTACTATTTTTGTCCAAACAACAGTTATAATAATCACCAATTAGCAAATTATCCCTTGCTTCATAAACATAGCTACCAGCATCACCATCATCCAAATAAAGTAACTTCACTAGCCAATTGTGATTCTCCACCTGAGTCTTGTTCTAGTTCTGCTAAAGTAAATTATCATTCAGATTATGGATCATTTCATGGGCATAATGGTGTTATGAATCCTGCAAGTGTTAGTAGGGAATTTTACGACGATTCTGGTTTAGATTTCACGTTATCATCACCACATACTAAATTATTTTGTCCTCGCAATGGTAGTGATGGTCGTCATACACTTAATAGTTGCATAAACCAAACACAATTTCAATCTACAAACATGGAACAGAGACGCTATTCCCTGTCATCGCTGCCATTTTGTGAAGTGAATTTAGCATCTCCAGTTAAGTAAGTACTCTGCCTTTTTGTTTATTTGTTTCTGGAGACTTATTCAACTTGAAAGTGGTTTTCGTCAAGTATTATCTATTTCAACTTCAGTATTTAATTCGAACAATCACCATCAACTTATGTATTGGATCCAGCTTTCAACAAATTAGCTGTTGTTCATGTTTAGAGATTTCGCTTTGACTTGATTTTGTCATGTATACTTGTTATGACAAAGTAAACATCTCTAAATACAATTTGATCAGTTTCGTTGAATACTGTTGCTAAACAATAATATAAATTAATTGAGTAGTGGAAATTCACGTTTTGGGTTGTAAATATGTAGCAGTTGTACTCTTTGCGCAAAAATTTTACTGGTGGACATAATGACCTCGTCTTGAACTTACGTAAAGAGTGAATACTCCTAGTATTTACTAATATGAACAATAAATGTGGACATCGCTACACCCTGATCTCCAGGTTACCCATTAACGGATGGTTTATCTTTAGCAGGAGTTTTTAGAGGGATTTAGATTAAGTTTAAAGTTATTGAGTTAATTCTACTTAAAATATCATTGGAGATAAGACAACAAACCAACTTTCTAAAACACCAACAACCCAATAAGAATTATTTAATTTAGATATGAATGAAAGTACAAAACGTGTTAAATTTAGTGACAAAACACTTTTTAAACAGCGCGAAGCTCTATTATACACGCTACTTTCCATGGGTGTTATTTACGAAAAGCGGATGTCCGACGCTTTAACCGGGTTGGTACATACGGAGGATCCACCTAAGGGAGTTGGGAAACCCTGATTCCAAACCAATGGTGCACATGGGCTCTAGAATCCTAAACAAACAAACGGCGTATGTACCTATTGTTGGTCACCGGTTACCATGAGACTGCATCTACTTAAGTTGCTCCACTGCCTTATGAATTGAACCTTTAGTTCAAAGGCTCGGGGTGTGGCCCCCTAAGGAAACCACCTGCTTTGGTTTGGGTGCCCGTGCAGTATCACAGCCCTTACACAAATCGAATGATTTATATAGCGTATATCTCTTTGGTGTCTCCTTGTACTAATGTTTATGTGTTAAATAAACAATTTCTATGGGTAAGATATTACTATAACTAATCACCTAAATAAAACTCGCTCTAAAAAGCTCAAAATCCCTTAAATAAATAATAAGTAGAGTAAATCTGAAACATTAGATTATAGTCTATATTTAGTTTTATTATTTAAATTTGTTGCTGCAGTGATTTGGCAGTAACAATACCCATAAGAAGATTTTAAAAAGCATTACACTTAATTTTGAGTTGCTTGATCTCTCAAAGACAGTGAGTGCATGACACTTATTGTTTTGTGACCAATGAATAAAGTCACGCGCCAAGTCACCTATCAGAATCCTAATTCTAATTTGGTCTGTTATTTACTTTATCTGTATCTGACGTCCTAGTAGACACTCCACTAGTACTATTGACCTTGAACCGGCAGCTAGATTCCTATTAATTTACTATTCGCTGGCTTTACTCTACATCTTGCCCCAAGTGAAAAGTAATAACTTGCCTCTTTTATATTTATATTTTCAAACAGACGTTGTTTATATACAAATATACTATAGACCTCACCACAACATATAGTAGAAAATAACATTTATGCATGATTAAGTCAAAAAGTGGTTTTGATTAGTGGAGACTGTAAGCAATAGACTGACGATAAAATATGACTAGTAAATCGTATAACTGTAGTTGATGGGTTCACCGAAAGTTTACGATAAATGGAATATATATATATATATATATATATATATATATATATATATATATATATATATATATATATATGGCAATTTAGTTACTTAGTAATTATACAATGAAATTATAATTAAGAATAATTCGATGAACTGGTTCCAACTTCTACAATATTCGTTCGGTTATAACAACTATTGTTTTATGCTACGCCCAAAGAGGGTTGTATGGCATATATGTGCATCCCACTCGTTATTTTTCAAATTTCCGCCTAGAAAATCACTCATTGATCTTGAGTACGCATATAACGCATTCTTGTCTGTTGAAAATATCCAGTCTTCTAAACACCTCACATAAGATCCCTATTCACACAAAAGCAGTCACAACTTAATTAATTTTCAAATGTGAGATTACTAAAGTATTAAATTGTTACCCAGTTCTATAAGAAACCAGCTGTTACTTAAAGCAAATAAGTATATTAAATCTGTTAAAAATTATTAGTACTCAAGGAGGATAGGTTAAACTTCTCCATTCTACTTAATCGTAAAGTTTCAGCTATAAAATATACGTTATCTACTTCTGATTTTCTAGTATACTACTAATCAATACTTATCACCTAACCAGTACACAAATACTTGTCAAATTATTGTACGGTATAGAATTGGACCTTTACATTCAAGCAAATTAAAAGATCCGTCCAGAATCGAATGTGTTAATGTATGATTCACCTTTGTTTTTACCGTATTCTCTTCATTATTTACGTATTTTTTTTCCCGCAATATCAGCACCTCAAGACAGTCATCTAATAGTAGACGTCGACGTGTTAGTCTATTAGTAGATGGTGTTCGATTCCTCATTGATGCTGAACTTCTTCAAGCTCATCCTAATACAATGCTTGGACGAATGTTTAGTTCACAATTTCTAGAGACTAAATATTTGTATGATAATCTTAACAATACTAATTATCCTCAGTCTACGTCAATGGAAAGTAGTTCACCAAGTGATAGTAAATCACAAACTACCACACATTCATCGTCCTCATCAACAACGACAATTCACCATAATTTTCAAACACATCCACCAGATATCTCAATTGCTCAAGACTCAACTATTTCAGCTCAGGTATTTCGTACGATTCTTGATTATTATCTTATTGGTTGTATGTCTTGTCCACCCGGTGTTTCAGTACAAGAACTTAAAGAAGCATGTGATTACTTTCTTATTCCATTCAATCAACAAACTGTAAGATGCGAAAATCTACGAGCATTTTTACATGAATTATCAAATGATGGTGCACATGGTATATTTGGACAATTTCTTGAAACACATATTCTCTCATTACTTGTCAAGTGTACTCAATTAGGTGAACGCGAATGTCATATTGTCATTGTAACAGATGATGAAACTATTGATTGGGATCCAGACTATCCTCCACAAATGCCAGATAATGAATTAAATTCACATATTATTTACAGTACACAAATGTTTCGATTTCTGAAATATATTGAAAATCGTGAAGTAGCCAAACAAGTGTTACTTGAACGTAGCCTTAAAAAAATACGTATTGGCATTGAAGGTTATCCAACTTGTAAAGATCGGGTAAAATTTCGTCCAGGTGCTCGACCGGAAGCAATTTACAACTATGTTCAATGTCCATTTATTCGTATGTCTTGGGAAGAAGAAGAGAATAAATCACGTCATGTAGATTTTCAATGTGTAAAGAGTAAATCAGTTAGTGATTTAACAACAGGCTTAGAACAAGCTGTCATCGATCCACTTCCTCCACACTTAGTTCATTCAAATTTAAACAATCAGTTAAGAACATCAGTGCCAGACTCTGTAATTACTGTTGTATCTTCTAATTTCGAAACTCAAACTAGTAGTAGTATTGTTAGTACTACTATTACTAATACTAGTACACTAAACCATAGTGTAAATTCTATGACTTCAAACGAACTTATCGAATGTACCAGTGATACTCCAGCAAATACATGTGCTACGATTAATAATAGTAATAATAATAATGGAAGTACAATCTACCTGAATCGCATATCACGACTATCTAATCTCTCTGTTTTAACTTCAGAATTAGGATCAACTTCAGATGAACCAGATTCTGCTACTCCATTATACAATGCCTCTGAATCACAATATGATCCTGTCTCTCCTACATCTTCTTCATCTTAACGCCTAGTGTCATGATCTACCACTCTAATGTTACAATTCACTTCAAACCACACCTCTCTAACAATATTATTTACTATTTATTTATTTATGGTGCTGTCTTGTTTGTTTTCTTTGTAAAAATAGGACACATACAATCAATGCTTTATAACTATAGGAAAGGGGAATAACTAATGTTATTATCAGGGATAATAATTCAATGTATCCTCTCATTGTTCCTCGATTTACAAACAACCATTCATTAGTAAACTCTTACAGTACACAGATATACACATCCATTATATACATATATGTATACTACTTACACAAATGAGGCAATACAAATTATTTATCGTAATTGGCTGTGACCATAAAACTAATTTATCTCTTGCTTTCTCTTTCTCTACACATAAATGCATACATTCATACTCAACATGATTATACCATTCACTTTTCACTTAACTAAATTATTCAATTCTATTCGTTCATCCTACCATTAGGACTACTGCTATTATCAATATTTGATCGCAATTAATGTACAGCTGAAAATAAAAGGAAACTTTAATAAAAAGCACAATTATTTTTTCATTGTCGGTTATCTGTTGAAATCAAAACGTTATATATTGTATGTACTATGCTATCATTTATCAATATAGGTGACTATAAATTATTAACTATTATTCAAATTAATTTTTACTATATTACACTCACATAAATACCCAGTTGTTACTAGGATTCATTAATAATGATGTGTTAATTTTGTTTATTCCTCCGCTTTTTTGTTTGTTTTGTATTTTCTACATTTCTAATAATAAAAATTCAACAGACTCCTACTCCTTGTCTTGGTCCTCTACTACCTCTTTCGTGTTTTCAGAAATACATAGACTGTTTAATCTATTTACTATTATTATTACTATTACTGAGTAGTTTCTAACACTAATTCCCGTGCTTGTAATATATATATGCGTGATGTTTACTCACTGTCCGTCCGCGTCTGTCCAGTTTCATCTTCTACGTCTACAATATCTTTTTGATTCATCAACGTAAGTGAATACGTTAAAATGTTTGCCTAGTTAGCTTTAAATGTTTGTTTATCTCATTTGTAACATTCATGATTATTCAAGATGTTAATGAATATGTTTAAATTGGAACAAAAGGCAGATTATAAAAAGTGTAATATCAAATTGTACACTGACTCACTAATATATTGTTTTGTTCTCTTTTGAATAAATAAACTTTCAATTTCTGTTAAGTGTATGTTTCCAAAGTGGTTGTTTCATTGTTTTCTATTGTTTGTATCGTTAGGTCATTACGACGGTAGTAGTAGTAGTGTAGTGTAGTGAACAGAACACCAGTGCGGACAATCGAATGTATTTGACAACAAATTACAGAACTAGTTAGTGAAATCCAACAACCATATATGAAATGCTCAATTTGCAAAATGTTCATCAATTGTCTCAAATAACTCAGAATTCCTTTGTTCTTGCATTTTCATACAAATCGCATTCTGTCTTCATTCTTTACTGCTCGATCTTCTCGTCTCTCTGCTGCCAGACATTCTATTCACAAGTAACATCATATACTACTTATGTCTACATTAGTAGCACACACCACAGTAGTAGTAGCCAATGTAGTTGACGTTAATTTCTTACTTTGCTAATTTTCCAAATGGAATATATACAACCTCTCAGTTCATGGTGGTAGTCTAGTACAACTGAAATTCAACACAATCATTTATTCTACGACAGTTTTAATAAATTGAAATGTATATACTAGTTATATGTATATGCATACATATTATCTTATGATACTGTGTGGCATGTATGTCTGGTTGATCCGGATATGTATTTGTAAAACTGGCTTAAAGTGTAGAACTCCGCATTATTATGCGTAAATCTAATACTCTCTCATAATATAAAGTTGTCCAGTAAATAAGACTGAATGAAAGTGACATTGAAATAAATTTAGAGAATATACTTAGAACTAAAATCATAGTTTAAATGTTAGATTTATTTATTTATTTATGGCTTTATTCAATATGGATCCCATGCTTCAAAAACAACTTGAATCAATTAGGTCGGTATCATGTCATAGTTTCATTATCCTGACAGTTTTCCGTTTTTCATCAAGCTAAGTGATGTTGATAGAAATACGAAATGAGACTAACTAGACATAATTTCTCGTCATCAGGTTTTTTTTACCAAGAACCTTGTTTTAATCGCGTTCATGTGTGTTATCATCATTGTGGTGTGTTATTTTCAAAAGATATTTAGTGTTCCTAAGGCAATCAGACTGCAGCTCCTTTGCATCGCCGAAGCAATAACCATACACCTGGAAAAACCAGAATTATGTGTGCAAAAGAGATTGGTACAACCTCTTCTTCTACCTTGGTCTTAATGTATTAAAAAATTTTCTCTTGTTCCTTTACAGCCATCTGCACCTTTCACCTGCCCCTTAAATATTCTACCCCCAACTGGTTTGTTTTTATTTCTATAATCATTCCGATTATATTTAATCTTAATTTCAACATTTTATCTTATCATGCTGAGCCATCCTTTCCCAATGATAATTTCCCTATCTATGTTTTGATAAATATTTTAGCGATTAACAATCAAACTCTCCTTGTTTTATAAAATTTTTAATACTTTTGTTTATTTAATTTCACTGTCACCATGTATAACAAGTTTATTATCAGTACTATTATCATCCTGTAAAAATAAGTATATATATTTGCGATTGTACAGCTTTGAAAAAGAATTCGCCGAAAAGAGAACTCTTCGCTGAACTAATCCTTCTTATTTAATATTTAATGTTTGTTGTATTTTCAGTAAATTTGATACCTGTGTAGTTTACTATTTGATGAAATAATAACAAACAAGTTACTGACTTTATTTATATTGTGCGGTAACTTAGTGGTTAAGGTTCAAGTGTCAAGTCTGAACCACACATAATTTGGTCTAGGTAATCGGGTAGTAACATCAGACCTCATGTTGTTCATGTCTAAATACTTGGTAAATGAGTTAATTTGATTCGAAATTTCATTTTCAATTATTTCGATAACCACTGACAGATTACATTACAGTAAAAATGGTTTTTATCATCAAATACTGATCTAAGAAACATCAAAGACCTGTATTTTTCACGTTAATGATTCCGTTATTTCAGCAGTTTAAAAATCCCCGTAGAATATTTGAGCGGACAATTGTTTTCAATAACTTCATCATCAGGCTCTACAGTTATAAGTCCATAATTATTGTGATATTTTACAAAGGCCAAAAATAAGGCATGTATTAATGAAATTTGACAATGTTATTAAGAGAAATCTACTCCTGTGACCATTAATGATTGACTGAAGTCTTGTAAAATTTCATTTTAAGAATCCTAACTGACAGGATTACAATCGGCATCCCATGAAAACCTGGAATTCTCATGTTCTATCATCTAAAATTCGGCTTTAAAAAACAAAGCAAGTTTTCAGTGATTTTATAGGATACTTTATTTTACAATAATATTCATTTTTAAGATTCTTCAGTTTTCGTGACCAGTAAACTAAATACCACTTTACATATTGCCCCAAAATGTCATGGTACGGCCGAGGGTGGGGAGAGCCTGATCTCCCTCTCAGAATTCTCACGTGTATACAACCACTGCCTTCTCGCAGTAGGGGTATTGTTTACAAAATTGAGAGGACGAAAAGTGCGTATCCGACGCTTTAACCGGGTTGTTGGGTATGAAGGATCCATCCAGGGGAGTTGAAAAACCCTGATCCCACACCAATGGTGCACATGGGTTCCGGGACCATAAAGAAACAAGAAGCGTATGATTCTATTGTTGATCACCGGCTACAATGGGATTGCATCTCCTGACGTTGCTCCACTGTCTTGTTCATTAAACCTCTAAGTCGAAGGCCCGGGGAGCGCCCCCTAGGAAAACCACCTGCTTTGGTTTGGGTACTTGGGTAGTATTCTAGCCCTCACACAAATCGAATGATTTATGTTGCGCATATGTATTTCGTGCCTCCTCGTATGTGTCCAAATAAATAATTTTAGATATTCGACTGTGTAATATTACGAAGTGTAATCTAGTTTTCAGTTCTAAAACTGTTTCCTCTTATTTTGATGTCTTAGATTAATCATGTATACAGGGACCATTGAGTGAGTATTAGTGAGGTTGCGCACAGGGTACTCAAGTTAAAGATAGCAAGTTAATTGGTAAAATAGTGAATCTTCATCGACTTAAATGGTTGAAATATGTATTTTATATATGCTCAATCACTATCTACATTGACTTGTCATGTTTCCTAGTGCAGTAATAGGTCAGAAGAAAGACTCATCACAACTAAAGCTAGACATCAGTCCATAAAGTTATTGACTTTTGAACTGAGCTATGTTGGTAAATACAAACTACTTGGTCAAGATACTCGTTATTATCTCAAATGATGATTGGAGGCGTTGTATCATGTGGTTCAGAATCAATCGTAATGGCTCAAATGCATTCATCTTTTGTTTTTCCTTAAATCATTTTGTACTCTCGTTTTACTCCAGAAATTCATTTATTCTTCTTATATTATATTTCCTATACCCAATCTTTTTTTACTGACAATGTTACTATTTCCACTAGTTTGACATTTGTCTGAATAATTTAATGTGACACATTGAATCGATGCACATATATCCCAAGTCCTAGATTACTTATGACTGACTAAGGTCAAATCACAAATTACAAACATATGATATCGAATAAATATATGATTATATGGTATATTCTCACATTGAACAAATTCATACCTTTTTTTATTGAAGAAAAAAATTCTTGTGCCACAAAGGTATAATTTCGTATGACTTGCATGTTGAAATTAACCTTACATTAATTAATTTACATAATTAGGTCATAATGTACAGTATATACGTGTGACGCAACAATTGTTATTTAAACGGTAATGAAATAAACAGGCTCATGATTTCATCTGATTATCATGTGTTAAGTCAAGCACAAATTGTTTAAATTTCTTCAAGTTCACTGGA